TGTGTAAGAGGTCGTTCGAGGAAGAGCCCTTCGCCAGGTAGGCCGTTGTCTCGAGAAGAGGAGACCCGGGTCAGCTAGACCGTCGCGTGCTCGTGAACGACATAGAGTCAGGAAGACTCCTTGATCCTTCCCTAACCACCATTGTTAAGTATCGACGACTACGGTTGGACCCAGCGCGTAACAACAACGCGATGCCATGATCGGTGCAGAAGTATCTCCCGAATGTGACCTATTTCTCTGGAGGGAGCCGACATTTGCGCCGTGGTTGTATGGTATGATGCGTATAAAGAAGCAGAGAACGATATGGGAAGGTCGAATTGGTATGCTAATTGGACTGTTAACTAGAAGATCCCCCTTAGTATCATGGATTGTGTGGATTTGGCTTTGATCGGTTACAAACTTTCTAAGAAAACTAGCTCAGCAGCAACATGTTTCAGGGTGTCGACATAATACAGTCGAACGGTTTAGATGTCTTTATCAGACGCATCCCTCAATAAAGAGACATAAAAGAAGAACTGTAAACAACCGAGAATGTTAAACGCTTTTTCCTTTTCGTGGCGTCATGTGGAGGACGGAATATATATATATCCTAACCACTAACCGCAATCAATGTAATGCAGAAATGTTGCAATTTTAGGAATCAAACACAAAGTGATTCCAAAGCAGAAAAATAGAACTTTTATCAATCTGTGCCTCGTTGTATATATCAGCCACAAAGAAACGAATGAACAGATCGATTATTTTACGTGGAAGTGACGTAAAGGCCGAAAGATATACAGTGATCAATCCTATAGCAAATTTATGAGCATTCGTTTTTGACGTCTACTTCTATTTTCGAAATATCTATCTCTTTTATCGTCTTTCCTTTCTATCCGTTTGCGGTCGAAGAAAATGGATATCTCTCGGATTTAGAAGAGGGCTAAAGGATGCAGTAGAAGTCTCGTTTCTATATCTCTCTTCGGCATCAATGACCGCATCTTCACATATAATATATATACACACCTCAGCAATCATCAACTGGACTGGTTCCCCTCTAGAATAATTCGAGGATCGGTGGATCATGCCAATTCCATGTCTCGGTACAAAGGATCGGGCGTCAACTCGCCCAGCTTGCTGGCCACCACGCGTCCGTCTTTCACGATGGCGAGCAGCGTGTCAGACATCCGATCGAGCACCGTAATATCCTCCAGAGGGTTCTTATTTAAGATTAAGAAGTCGGCAATCGCCTGGGGCTTCAAACAGCCCAGCTTTCCCTCCATTCCAAGCAATTTGGCTGCATTGACCGTCGCCGACTGGAGAATCTCGACGGCAGGCAACACGGCTGCCCGGATGCGAAACTCGCCGTTCTGCAAGACATGCATCCCGCTGAGCAGATCAGAGCCGTAGCATATCGTGACTCCTGCCTCACGCAGGATCTTGAGGGCTTCCAGCCCACTGTCCAGCACCCGTCGGTTCTTCTTCTGGCTCTCCTCGCTTAGGAAATGGTCAAACGGGGGCTCCGACATGCCGTAGTAGGTGACCAGCGTCGGCGTGAACACGACTCCCTTCTCCTTGCAGTATAAGGCTGTCTCCCGGTCGATGAAGTTGCCGTGTTCAATGCCGCGCACACCATTGTCGACTGCATGCCTGATGGCCTCGACGGTGTAGGCATGCGCTGTCACATATTTCTGGGAATATCGCGCTGTCGTCGTGATGGCCTGGATCTCCTCGGCCGTGAACTGCAGCATATCGAGGGCGTCTGACGGCGATGCCACGCCGCCACCACACATGATCTTGATGAAATCGGCCCCCTGGCGAAGCTCGTCGCGGACAGCCTCGAGACACTGTGGGACGCCATCGCAGACGCGCGCAAAGCCAGGCGTGTGGCCGCCGCAGCATTTGGCCTCCTCTGTCTGATAGCCGGCGCGGAGGTCGCCATGGCCGCCCGTCTGCGACAAGGCCTTGCCCGTGATGAAGAGCCGGGGCCCGCGCAGCAGGCCCTCGGCGATGGCATCGCGCAGGGCAGCATCGGCACCGCCAGTGTCACGGACGGTGGTGAAGCCGCGCAGCAGCATTTCCTTGGCGACAAAGGCAGACCGGAAGGCGATTGCATTGGGGCTGGCAGCAAAGAGGTCCTTGATCAAAAAGCTTCCTGGCGCAGCCGTTATATGAACATGGCAGTCGATGAGACCGGGGCAGACAAACTGGTGATGGAGGTCCACCACCTGGGTTGACGAGTCTTCGCGAGTTGGAATGGCATTGCCGGTTGACACCTCCACGATAATGCCATCGCGAACGTGGAACGACGAGTTGGGATGGACCTGGCCAGCTTCAACATCAATCAACGATGCATTGACGAATGTAATGTCGGGCGCCGGGGTCTGGGGCAGCCACGGTTTCGCTTGAAGCTCCTTCTTCATCTTTATTCTCATGTCTTTCTGAGCGAGAGAGATGAAGAACTGATTAGCTCAAATCACACTGATCATACGAAAAAAAAAAAACATGGAAAGGCTATCCAGCATATACCACGGCCAAATGTTCCCCGCTCATAGAGACGATACCGGCCCGGCCGATGAGAGACCGAGCCGGTGGGAGAGGACGATCAAAGAGGAAGGAGAAATGGCAGTCTGTTTAGACTGCTCGCGGAGAAATCGGCGGCCGCATTTCGATTGGCCAGTCGGGATTTACCCTCAACGTTGATAAGGCCAATATCCCACTAGCAGATGCTGGTCGCAACAGCTTCATATCTCGGACAGTTCGCCGGATCCTGCAGAGTGGGGCATTTCCCCAGATATCTAAAGCACAAACACTCGTTCAAGGAGATTCTTCTCCTTGCGTGGGGTATGGTCTGACCTTCTGCTTTTAGATGGCCATCCCACGCAGTATGAAGTAAATTGCCCACGTTGCGGGTCCACGTGCAGGAGAGTCGATAGACTCCTTCAAGAACAAGCCACTAATTTGGTATTTTGTCAACTGCCGAGCCCAACAGAGACTGGTGCTGCTAGTTACCTTCCCAAAATTGCAATCTTGGACGCTTATCGGATGCAATCGCCAAGCCATCCAGCTACCAGCCTAGCTAGTACAGAGGCGGGTTGAAGACCGTATGTGTATATATGGCTTTGGGGCTAAGTATGCAGCTCTGAATTTTCCATGACAGTGCCGTCTCCATCAATTCATACTGATTCCCTTCTTTCCATACGTCATTAATTTCTACAGACAAGATGGCGGAAGAGAAGGTGGTAACAGGGAAGAATGGCGATGACCAAAGTGACCAAAACATGGAGGGTCAAGCCTCATTTACGCCGGAAGAGGAGCGCAGGATCCTCAGAAAAATCGATTGTGTGATTCTGCCCATGGTAAAGCAACAACATATCCCATAGGATCAAAGTACTCGATCGCGATGGACTAACCATTGATTGCGTTTTAGATGTGCTTTGTCTTTCTCTTCCAGTGTAAGCTCCTATCAAATTTGTTTGGCGCAAATCTCATCTGACCGGCTCCAGACATGGACAAGCAGAGCTTAAGCTATGCTTCAGTATTTGGCCTCATTACCGATCTCAAACTTACAGCAGGGCAGTATTCGTGGTGCTCATCCATCTTTTACATCGGTATGGGCAGTACAGCGAACAGTCGGACTGGCAGCTAACAAAACCATTGCAGGACAACTTGTTTCAGAATACCCCTTCATCTACTTGATGAGCAGATTGCCCTTATCCAAGTTTGTTGGAGCCACAATGTGGGTTTACCATCCATATCCTGACGAGCGTCATCCTACTCACGACTTGCGCAGCATTCTTTGGGGAGGGGTATGCATGTGTCTGGCTGCTCCTAAAAATTTTGCCGGCTTCGCTGCTGTGCGATTTCTACTAGGCGTCACAGAGGGCGCTGTTTCACCTGCGTTCGTGACCATCACGAGTATCTGGTATCGGAAAAAGCAGCATGCCTTGAGAGTCGGGTATGTCTGTCTCTTGCTATTGGAGAGGACAAATATTCAATTGCTGACAATTCCTGACAGCACGTGGGTTTCCATGAACGGTATCGCCCAGGTCATTGGAAGTCTCCTGATGTACGGCATCGGAAAAAACACGGCACTTAGCTTGCAGCCCTGGAGGGTGTTATTTGTGATATGCGGTGCCTTGACCGTTGCCTGCGGAATCGTCTTCTACTTCATCATGCCATCCGGCCCAGAGGACGCATGGTTCTTGACGGAACGAGAGAAGCAAGTCCTGATCGAGAGGATGGCGGCGGACCGAGAAGGTGGCGATAAGACGAATTTCTCTCTGTCGCAGCTGAAGGAGGCTCTCACAGACGCAAAGGCTTGGTTTGCATTTGCCTTCGGTGTCCTTGTCACGATGCAGTCGTCTGTGTTGACGGTATGTGTGTAAATCACTGAGTCCGTTGGAGATACTGACTCGGTGGATAGTTTGCGTCTCTCATTATCAAGAACCTCAACTACACCAAATTTCAGACAATGCTCTATGCCGCCCCGTCAGGCGCCGTGCAAGTTTGCTTCATCTGGATCGGGATTCTGGGCTGTTTCCTGCTTCCGAAGAACAGGTCCCTGGTTGTGCTCTTGTTGATCATCCCTCCGCTCATTGGAAATTGCTTGCTACTGAAGCTTCCGCTGACTGCTGGATGGGGGATGATCGGCTCATCATGGCTGGTAAGTAAACCATTACCCTTTCACAGAGCTATGATTCTCATGCCCAAACTCAGGCGTCGTGCATCTCCGACATTATGGCTATCCTGCTCAGTCTCAGCGCGTCCAACGTCAAAGGAAACACGAAACGAGCCATTGTCAACACGTTCTTCTTCATCGGCTATTGCGCTGGCTGTATCGCTGGTCCTCAGCTGTGGAAGGACAATGAGGCGCCTCGTTTTTTCGAAGGCGAGGTCACCGCCATCGTGACATGGTGCCTGCTCTTCGTGGCGATGTGTGCGTATTGGTACATGTGTGCTGCGGAAAACAGGCGAAGAGACCAGCTGGCTGGAACAGTGGAGATCAGGGCCTTTGAAAAGGGAGAGGATGTGACAGATAAAGAGGATCTGATGTTCAGATACAGCTATTAGGCTATTTGCAATTCTCTCCAGCAACTCAAATCTTAAGGAAATACTACGGGAATGCGATGGAGTCGGCGATATATAATACAATCTTCTGTCAATTTTGTCCTTCATCCCACAAACATAAAATTGAATCTTATCTAACTCAGTGTGGCGTTCGGGTGCCGCATTTGTTGATGATCTTCAACGGACTGAACTTGTGGAGCAGTGTATACTTCATACGGTAATCTCAGTGTTCATTGTGATTAAAATTGGCCCTAGCACAAGGCACAAGTATCATTAATAACGACTTGACTCCCAGTGCAAAATTCAATGACTACAAGCTCACACTCCAAATTGCCCTCCGAGGGCATCACCATTCCTCATGACCCTTCTACCTTTGCGATGGGGCACGAGGAGACTTTCTCTGTCTTTCTTTCTGTCGGTCGCGTTCACAATCTGGCTGTTATGGCCTCTATACCCAGAGAAACCCCTGAACTGACGTATGGCCGTCTCAATAAGACGACACCTACCTCGCCTTATGCTATCGCGACTTTCCTAACCGAGGACACCTACCAAGCGCCCGACGACTACTACTTATCGCGACGCGTATCCTGACATATCAGCTGCTACATGCCGACGAAACCCGCTGCAGACGGCAGATTCCATTCCTGGTCCTCATCACCAACGCCGTCACCCAAGACAAACGGGACCAGTTGACAAAGGATGGTGCGCAAGTGGTTGTCGTGGAGGATGTGCCCCTTCGATGGTGGATTCACACGGGCGTGAAACGATGGAAGGATCAGTTCACGAAGCTTCGCATCCTGGAGATGAGACGCAGTACGAGCGCGTTCTGTTCATAGACGCAGACACCATCCTCACTCGGCCCATCGATGGAATATTCGATGACCCCGAGTCAGTGAATCCTTCGAATACTCTGTTTGAGAAACGAGAGGCGATCCAACGGGACGAAGAACAGCTGCCGGCGCAGTATGTCTTTGCTGCACGGTCTGACAACGCCCTCGGAGGTCAGCGCGACCATCCTTTCCCACCAGACCATACGGACGAATTCAGTGCCGGATTCTGGCTGGCGGCGCCGTCTCACGAACTGTTCCGATATCTGCTCTCCGTAATGCGCCATTACAGACGGTTCGACCCCACGACGATGGAACAGAGTCTCTTGAACTACGCATTTAGAAAAGAAGGCGCAATGCCCTGGCAGGAGCTGGATTACCGCTGGAGCGCAACGTGGCCCAGCATCAAGGACCTGCAAGGCGGAGTGGCGACGCTGCATGAGAAGTTTTGGATGACCGGACCGGATGAATTGAGGTCACTGTGGTGGGATTTAAAAGGAAGAATGGAGAGGTATTATGAGGCAGTGGATGGCTGACCTATATATGTATTCTATTCCTGGGCAGAGAAGAGTGTGCTACACATATACACCAAGTTGCTAGACCCATAAAGGATATAGATTCGCATGAATGACAATACGTACTGCCTGATTTGCTTGTTCAGATTACTCGAATAAATGATGATTTTATTGTCAGTCTTTCTTCCAGGCATGATTCATACCACACACCCTGCGAAAACAAAGAAAGAAAGAGCTTGTTTCGAGAACCGAAGAACATGTTGTATACATGCTTTTCATGCGCTGCAACTGATACCACTGGGAACATTTTCGCAGTCATCACTGACTTTTCCTCCCGTGACATTGACATCAGTCCAGGTCCAGTCCGAGCAGCTTCCGGCACCGCAGAGGATGAAAATGTCAGTGGCATCACTGTCTACCGTTCCCTGGACATTATCCAGAGTAAAATCGGAAATGGGGACACCGTTCGTAGGAGTCCCCGTAGGACTGCCGTTCTCATAATCCTGTCTGACGACGATGCCGTAATCGGTGATTCCAGACAGCGTAATATCTTTATATGTGACACCAGATACGGAGCCAGTGGCATCGTAAACTGTCTTGATACGCACGCCTAGATGAAATTAGTCATCTTTGATTGGTCAAAATTAGCAACAGCGATGGGCTTACCATTCTGGGAGTTCTTTACTTGGGAGCTTTCAATGGTAACATCGGACACCGTATTGTCGCTTCGTCCACCGACAGATCCAATGGACAGACCGTGGCCACCAGAGCAGAGTCCGCCTGAGAAAGTAATGTTCTAGAAATCCAACATCAGTCAGCCCACTGTTTCATTGGGCCACCTTGTTGTTAAATTTAGGAGCTGGGAGGCGCTACATACCGTTCCTGAGTTGACCGCGAGGCAGTCATCCTGATTGTACACAGTAGCACCAGTAATAACAATCCCCGAACTCTCGCCAACATCGAAGCCGTCAGTATTAGCGGCACCTGCATTATCTCCAGCCGAGTCATCAATGGTAATATCAGACAGCGTCAGATCCTCAGAGCCAGAAATGCTGAAGACCTGAACCGGTGAGTTTTGGATATAAAGGCCACTGATCGAAGACAACTTCAAATTGTGCGCATAGAAGAACTTGGGCTTGGTCTTGCCTCCGTTGGAGCCCTCGCCATCCCACCAGCGACTCCCATCACCGTTCAGAGTGGCTCCACTAGCGGCAGTGACAGTGATATCGGTCCCGGACACTGATACCAGGGGACCGGACCATTCTTCGTATCCGAAAGTGGTTTCACCTTCGAAGATTACCTTTAAAAGGAATTAGCAAAAAGACCGCAATTAGTGACACTTCTCAATTGTCATTCTTCCAGACATACATGAGTACCATCATTCAGGTTTGTCAGGTCGAGAGTCGTGCCAGACGGCACAGCAACATCTGACAGGACAATTGTTGAACAGGATGTCTTGGATTTGCTTGCAGACGAGGCACCATCGGACCCAGAGAAGGTACAGGTTGTCGCCCTTTCTTCTAGCTTTGGAGGCGGAGTTGGAGCTGGCGCATCAGTAGCCGGGACTGCAGGTGCAGCGAGGACATTGATAGAGGTCAGTAGGGTTGAGAGTGTAACGAGTGTATAAATTCCAGGCATGATGAATTCGGCAGGAATGAGAGCGTGATTAGTATTTTTACAAAGGATTGTCTGCTAATAGATCAGAAAAAGGAATGTGCATGCGCTCGAACATTCATCCCACAATGATCCTCCACCTTTTTATAGACGTCACAATAGAGGACAGATTGACGGCTCTGATGTAAACGTTTTTGTGTTTCGATTCATAAATTAAATTTTCCTCTTTTCCGTTGCAGCTTACGTCCACCTCTTACGTTGAATGGGGAATTTAATTATGGATCTAGACCACTTCATATTCAAAATGCACGCCATGCAGATTCTCCACAACAAGCAGGACCTGAAATGGGGATGGTCGATGGTCGTACCTCATTTTTGAGTCCTCTGTCACATTAATGTTAGTAACATTATTGTCCGCGTATGCTCGGATCAGATCAGATAAAACACAATAACGCCACATTAATTATCCTTTTTCTTGGCGGACTAAAAGACGATCAGTTTCCAGCAATCACTGTTGTGAAACGCCGAGCCCCATGCATGTCCTTTATATGGGGCTTTACCCACTTCACTCCTGACTCGTGGAAAAATCATTATCCCGTCCATGCAGAGATGGTTTGTACGGAGTAAACATAAACTTTTCGTCAGCCAAATTGAAGCAGTGGAGAACTTTTGTTTGAGATTAATGAATTAGAGGTGGTAGATTGTTGAAATGTTAATTGACTGGTTTGGATATTGACATCCCTATTCGCTGAAGTGTCTTCATTGCCAATATATTAACGAAAACAGACATAGCATAAACTCTCCAAACAACTTTAGCAGGGAACTCGGCAATCAATTTACAACTTTACTAAGGATAGCGGAATTTCTTCTGTCCGCTACTCGAAAACTTCAAATTTGATATGTTCTGCCTATGCTCGATACATCATAAATCGTGTAGACTAAGTAACATAGATTCTGTACAATAGTTGCCACAATGAAGGCTCCCACGCAGACGAAGAAGAAGGCTCTGGATAGGACCAGAGTAGTTTTCGACGGCTCAACGTGTGTGACTAGTTCCACTGACCTCTGCAGACGGCGTCGAGTATTTGTCAGGCGGATTAGCAAGAAGTTCAGGTGCAGATAGGAATGAGAACGTCGACGGGGTCTAGAACGGGTGGTTGTCATCATCGTCCTTAGATGAAAATCGTTAGTCCTCGAATGGAAAGAGCGTATATTTGTATGAGCACATCACAGACCAAGATTTATATACTCTGTTCGCACTATATATTTCTGGCTGCGAAATCCAACGATGCAGTAAGTAATGAATCAACTATTACTGCATAAATATATACCGTAAAGGATATATATACAGCATCATCTCGTGACATTGTGCTTAGTTTTATTGATTCCTGCCATAACCGGATTATCCGAGTCAGCCGACTCGAGAAATAGATGGGCTAAGGAAGATACCCTGAGTCAAATTCAGCATGCCGTAAAAGATATAAATGCTATTATCCAGTCCTTTGGAATGGCTACACGTAGTTATTTACCACCTGGCCCGCCCGGCCCGGTTTGGTGTCTGACAATTGGTGGTAAGAGAATAAGTACTAGGGTGGTCGTGGGAAGAAAAGCAATTACCTTGAAGCATGTCGCTAAACATGTTTGTCATAGCAATCCATATATTTATCTCCCAATAATTACCAAGTTGATTTCAGCCAGTTTGGTGACACAGAATACGATTTTTCATGCGTGCTCAGAGTGTCATGTAAAAATGTAACACATAATGAACATGGAGTAATTCTATGTCTCTAGCTGAAAGTGTATATCATAAAGAGTCAAAAAATAACTAGAAAGCAAACAAATGAGATACAACCGATATTGCCCGAGCGTCGATCTAGTAAGTATTTCGAGATACTCCGAACAGCAATATGAGGAATATATCTCCTTTATGAAACGAAGCCAGCGGACCTTACCTTCAGCTTCACACAAAGCAAGCTGGGGTTGTAAAGCCTCTGGTCCATCTCAAAGGTCCAATCTCCACGACCAACATTGCCAATGCAGCGGCGACGCTGACGATGCCATACACATAGGCATGTTGTCGTTTTAAATCAGATAGCTCCAAAACCAAGGTGCTCACTGTCGTCAGGCATCCACAGAACCCGTCCATAATTCCCTGTAACACTTGACAACCAGTAAAGCTTCCTCCACCGAAGACGGAAGAGCCAATTGTTGCATGTTGCAGTGCGAAGGCCATTCCCAGGATCATCGTCCCGACAACATTGACAGTAAAGGTTCCAAGTGGAAATGTCGGTATTCGTCGATTAAGTTTCAGTGAGACGTAAAATCGAACAAGACATCCGACAGGGCCAAAGACAAGGGAGAAAAGAAACGGACCCCGCCAGATCTCAGGACTCCATAAAGTCTTTGCTGTTGAGAATTGAGGCAACAATATAACAAGACAAATAGTTGCTATCCACGATAAAGGAGCAATAATCGCCGTCAGCGGATCAAGAAATTGTTGCAGAAATCTAGGATGTATTCGCGGTAACCACGAGGAGGCAAAAATAGCCATATGCGCTCCGAAAAAAAGTGCAGCCATAGAAAGACCAATTTCGGTGATTAACACGGCAATGACTGCCATAAAGCTGAATCCTCCATTCGGAGCCTTAGTGGTCGTTGACTGGAACAACGAGAGCTCTGAATATGGTGCCAGAGGCGACGGAAGATCATTCGATATCGCCAGGAACGCATCTCGTATGAAAGTAGAGAATGACGTCAAGCACCCACAGAAGCCCGTCGTCAGACCGATATACAGAGGAATGGTCTTCTTGTGTGCCGCTTCATGAGCTTTCCATAATGCATCATTCTCCGTCTCCGAGTCGGTCATGCTGACTTGGGCGCTGTCGCCCCGGAAGAGTTCACGGTCCTCGCTGAGGAATCCCATAACAAAACTTCCAGCGACGTTCGCCCAGAGAGCGCTTGTTCCCACGGGCGCTCCTGGATAGAACGTCAAAGTCTCGATAACAACTCTGGTAAGCGTCCCAATCATCGCAAAGACAATCAGGTAGGACATGGTGTACAGCTTTGTCAGGAATTCCGATATACGAGTCGCCTTTATCGATTCCTCTCGTTCAAGTCCTCCAGACATCTCCACGCGAAGTGACGGACCTCGCTCTCGACTTTGCTGTCCGTGGAATTCTGATGGCGGTGCATTTCCCGAGGTACGAGATCTCACATTTTCAAGATATTCATGCCTTCGCGTGTGTCTCTCTGACGGATCCGATACTGGAGATGGCGCTGCGACTTCATCGAGATTATTCTCAGCCTGTGGAAAGGTATATCGATCGTCATTCTCGACCGAAGAACGATTTTGTATGCTTCCAGGAGGCCCATGCCCGCCATCAGGTGAAGAGGGTTTTTTCTCTTTCTGGAACATCTGGGCTGGCATGCCGCAATAGGTCTCTTGAATTCAGGAACCGCGCAGAAGCCGTTGTCCGCATATTTTGATGTTGAAATGTGACCGTCCATCGTGGAGAGGCATTCCGGTTAAAAGGGCTGCTATTCCATGTTATCGGCCATCCATCTTCGACCGGGCCGCCAGGACCGGTAATAAAAAAGACCCACGCCCCAATACAGGTTTTTGCAGTGTACGAAGAATCAGAAAACGTCTGCTTTCAATCTCAGAGAGGCGTCATTTTCTCAGGAACGATTTTTCTTCTCCATTCAGAGCCAAGAAACCCAGGTTTCGACCAGTAGGTTGCCTATACAACTGTTGCGACAGGCGTTTGGTGTCATTTCCGGCATCCGGTCACCTGCCCCCGCAGGTGACTCCACACGCGCATCTTCGCTGATGGAACAAGATCAACTCCAGTTCACAGAACGGCCAGTTCTCTCATCAAGAAACCTCGTTTGACGTTGTTTCGCCAGCAGGCATCATGAAGCGCCAGCGAGTCGAACTTGCCTGCGAGAAATGCCGCCTGCTCAAGGCCAAGGTGCACTGCCCACATCGTCTCGATGGATATTGACTGACAACTCTGGCTCAGTGTGACGGCCAACAGCCGGAATGCGGCCGGTGTAAAGGATACGGATTTATCTGCTCCTGGTCCGGCCGGAAGCGCTCTTCCGTAAAGGATGGGAGCGCCTTAGCATCGCCAGGCGTCCTGCGTCCCACATCTAACAGCAAAGCTCCTCTCAGATACGATACTCTACTGACGTATCAATGCATTGTGAAGTCGTACGAAGCATTGATCCAGAATCTGCGTCCCAAGTTGGAAAACACTGAGCGAGCCGCTCTTGATCTCACACTCACAAGCATCCATCGACGATTGCCGGATGACCTCGCTCAGCAAATTCGCAGCCAGAACACAGAGCAGCCGGCTGCAAAGAAAGACAGAAAATCTGCGACTTATGTAGGCAAGGCTAGTGATATTCACTTCTTCAACACCATTCGCGAGTGCATTCGCGAACAAGAGGCGATCGATCTTGCGAGCGAGGATCGGGGTGGCGAGCCATGTTACGACCAGACCGATATCCCCGAGAATCCCATCTCGTTCGGGAAGCCCCTGCAATTCCCGTCGCGGGAGGAAGCGGCTCGCTACCTCGATATCTACTTCTCGACCATCCATGTCGCATACCCGTTTTTGCGCAAGGCCACCGTGCTCGCCCACTTTGAACGGATGTGGAGCGAGGAGGAGGTCGACGAGCAGCAGGATCGTCCCTGGCTCGCACTGCTAAGTAGGACCATCTTCTCTTGAGTATGGAAGGAGGCTGACTTCGTCAGACTTTATTTTTGCCATTGGCTCGTATTATATGTCTTTCCCCCATGACGAAAAGACCGACTTCCAGCCGCATTTCCAGTATTTCGAGCAGGGATTGTATTTCTCAAATGAACTGATGGCAAGCTGCACCTTGACGAATGTGTGGATTCTACTAGTCCAGTGTTTCTTTCTTCTCGCAGTCTGTCAGACTGACAGGTAAGCAGTAATCAGCTTTGTAGCATCTGGAGGCTGATAAACCATAACAGTTGCTGGAATACACTCGGCTTCGCCATCCGCATGGGACAGAGCATTGGCCTGCACGTTGAGAATCCTTTATCCATGCGAGGACCCGAAGTTTCATATGCAACAGAGCGCGAGCTGAGACGACGAACGTGGTACTCGATGTACGTCTTGGATCGACTGCTTGCGCTGCAGCTCGGTCGACCCATGGCCATCCACGAGGAGGACTTCAACATCGTAGCCCCCTCCCGATCGGAAAAGCTGTCGTTCCACACGACTACAGACGCGGATTCTTCGGAGACGGAGGATCCAACGCTGCGACCGTCGATGATGGACTACTTTATTAATGTCATACAATTCTCCCACATTGTGGGGTGGGTGATTCGCGAGCTGTATCAGCCTACGCAAGTCGAGTCGTCGCCGGATAAGATGCTCTCCAGTGCCTCGTCGCTGGATAGACGTCTCTCTGAATGGAAGGCAAGGCTTCCGCGTCATCTACGCTTTGACCTGGGACATACGTTCGAGAAGTCGATTATCTTTCAACGACAGGTATGCAATTTATGCCTGAAAGCTGTGTGCTTCATTTTATTAAAATGACCAGCGCAACATGCTCGCGGTGAAATTCCATCACCTCAGAGCCTTGATACACCGACCATTCCTGTGTCTGCCCATGCTGCAGCGCAACAACGACGCCTTCATGGCCCTGTTCCAGCGCGACAGTCTGAAGATCAAAGAAGCGGAGAGGATCTGCGTATCCGAAGCGCAGCAGACGGCGCATCTGCTTCACAACGTAGTCGATGAGAAGAGTCTCGTTCATGACTTTCCGTGGTGGCAGATGATATCCTGTCTGATATGCGCCAGCTCCATTCTGTTCGTGGCGGAGACTTTTTTTAAGGACAATATCACAGAGTCTGGAGGAGAAGACTCGCAACAACTATTGCGTGAGGATGCTGAGACTTGTTTGAAGGTTTTTGAGGCGCTGAGTGTCAAGTCTGCTGCGGCAAAGAAAGCAGTGGACATGCTGCAGGGGTTGAGGAGATTGAGATCGTTATCAAAAGGTATGCAGTACTCGTTTACGACTTGCACCTGGCTAAACAATACGTCCGTCCCAACTCTAGCTACTCGGAACGGGAGAAGGATTTCGAGTTCCCTTCCTCGCGCAGACCAGGTTGATGATTCCTCCTGCACACCTTGCCCGACCGAGCCGTCAGATTATGCACCGCTTTTTTCACCGTCCGGAATGTCTACCGGGGAATGCTGGCAATGGCCAAGCGAGATCTCGAGTACGATGGAGTGGTCTGTGCAGTTTTTGAATCCGGCTTATATGGCAGCGCAACCGTTTGCCGGAGCGGATGGTGATGCAGCACCTGATGCAGAGAACATGTTGCCCAGTTGAATGGTGGTTCAGGATGCAGCTAGAAAATGGATTGAGCTGCGGTTTCCTACATTTAGGCATGTCATAATATCAGATGTGGCGTATATAGTTTTGTTATATCACTGTATAAGCCATCAAGGGCAGCGTCTCCCTGTCTATACGCTATTTAAGCTCTACTTGAGTTCGATCAATTTACATGATCAGCCGCGAATTTCACAATTTCAAGATCTCTTTGACTGTGCTTTCTCTAATAGCATCTAAAGCAATTGTTGTGACTATTTCAAAATATAAAATATTGTTGAGTCAACGTGCTGCACATTCACTGGTCGTCTACAAAATATCATAAGAAACTGACAAACGAATAACTAAGAGATTAAGTAATATTTTTTTCTGCTCTGGATTTGTACTCCTTGGAACCTTCTTTCTGTGCTGTGCATTTTATTTTCGTTTGCAGACAAGAATCCTAAGAATGGGTGCATTGTTAGGGCTTCTGCCGCCTCTTCCGGTTTTGCCGGTTTTCCCGCCATATCCGGTAATCTATCATGCAAACAAAGTTTCGAGTCATGTGAATATCTATATGAAATTGATCTCGACAAATTAATATCTTGACTAATCCTTCCACCCACCAGTCACGTGAATAAACATGTCCGGACCCAGCTTTCGATCGCGGGTCGTCACCGGATTTTCTGGGCGGCGATTACCTGCAGCAATCGGCTTTCTCCTGATGACCGACTCTGGCAGTGACGGATGACTCCGTCTAGAAAATACAATATAGTCATAAGAGCAATCACCATCCATCGTCTATGGATGACGATGATCTATCACCTTTTTAGATTTTCTGATCTGACCTGAGCCTTCCAGGCAGAGCATCGTTAGCAAGCACCCATTTTCACAAATCCATCGACCAATGCCCAATTATGAAATGTATCTCTATGTCCCTTCCCGGACGGAGAAAGGTCCTATGACTCGGTACGACCTGAATTTGACCGGGATGCCGTGCATCGTTGGCTCCCCGGAATGGGCTGGTGGTATGTTATACATAACAAGCAAGATATACGCATCCTCGTCTTACATGTCTCAGCTGCACTCTGCTCCCTCTCCTCTAAACATGATGGTAATATGGAATGAGTAGATTGCCTCCCCGACACCTGCGTTTTCTGCTCCGAGACTCTAGGACCCAAATCGTCGTATCGACGCCTGCTCTGCGGACATTTCTTCCACCTCCCCTGCATCGACAGCTGGATCTGCAACCAAGACGCCAGCTGTCCAATCTGTCGAAGGACATTCTATCATCTGCGACGGCAGCGGCATGTCATCTTTGCGTCTGCACAAAGCCAGCGGTCGGATCTGAGCAGAAGCAGGACGCGCAGCAGCGAGAGCGGCCATCACCGGTTGGAACGGGCGGTGGCTTTCTTTAAGGAGTGGTTGCGTGAGAGGGATTCTTGAATGGGAGTTGGAATTCTATTCTAATCTGATACGCAATTGTGAATCTCGGGGATGATTAGGCGGGACGGTATTTGAATAGCTTCGAGTGTTGAAATTCTGTCAATGATCAATGGTCTAGGAGTTGAGGAAGCATCATTCATGCAGGCATATCTCTATGTGTACGTGTATGATAACTCATGGAATAGCCATTTTGTATTGGGGTAAAATGAGACACTATCATGTAATCTCAGCTAGAAGCACACATCCGAGATCTCTTTTTTGAACGGAATCAGAGAATTCGAGAAACACTTCGTTCAACAGAGCAAGAACATATTGCTTGTGTGGATAAGTATTTCTTGATGTGCCATACTTGGTAGGAGTTTAGTGGCACACAAGAGTCCAGTATGATGAAGGCAAACAGCCGTTGAAAGGGAGTTGACAGACAATTGATTGAATTGTATGATTCTTGCGGATAGTATTGGCGATATTTATAAATGAGCGAGCCGTATCTTCACTACTAAACCTATTACTGGAATATCTCTCAATTCTTGTCATATTGCGCAGATTTGACACTTTGCATTGTAAATGATGACATACCAGATCTATATGACAATCTAGTGCAAATTTAGCTGAAACGGATGCCATGGCATTCACTTAGCGAATCTGGATCCAGTGTCTATAGCCCTCTGATTCAACATATTATTATCGTGCAGTCGTGTCTGTGATCTTGAATAACGTCCCCCAGCCCTTCTCCAGACTGACTCTCTGATCCTGCGTGATACACCCGCATTCACAGTGCTTTTTCCGCGTCGAAGGACAAACCTTGAGGGAGTATTCCGAGCCTGGCAACATCAATGCTCGGGATTTGTTCCTCTTCTCGCGGATCCCGATGACGTGCCTTGGGCGAGGCATCACCGACTCCTCGAAGAACACCTGTTGGTTGGCCTCGTCAATCGCTAGCAGATGTAGCTCTCGCTTCTGCATTGGTCGCTCGCTGCTAGGCAAAATCGCGTAATGCGGCCTCACTCGAGGAAGACCTGCCTTTGGCGCGTCCACCACGACGAAGTTGAGCGATGCTTCTGACGGGCGGGCGACAATATTGGGGCGAGACCCGGTCGTGGCCTGGAGATAGACGACAGGCTCTAGCGGCGTTGGTTGGACTTGGAGGATCCGCTGAAGCGGGTAGTCGTCAATCCAGGAAAGCATCTCGAACAGGACTCGACGGGTGTGTCGCGTCCCACGGGAATGGTAGTTGCTTGGACATGTCGTCAGCATACCCAGAGGGATCATACGAGGGGTATTCTTACTGTATCGCAACGGCAACGTAGGTCCCATCGTCATCCACGCTAAAAACCGGCCCTCCACTGACCCCTCCTACAGTGTCAACGCTGTAGTATACGGCGAAACGGTCGATATGGTCGAGAAAAGAGATCCCTTTGGCCTGCTCCGGTTTCCCTTGCAGGTAGCCATGCACTGTAACAGGCTTCTGGAGCAGGTCGTAGTCCGTCCTCCAGACTGTGAAGGCGCAACCGCCGGGGTGTTTGGCAGGCTCGATTCTGTGTTTGGCCAGGTCAATGGCGATGAGGCCATAATCAGCGATCGAACTCGCGTCATTCGAGTTCCTCGTCGGGTTGTAGCCGTAGACGCTCGACACGAAGCACTCGTGCGGCACGACGTCGAAGGCCAGCCCGTTGGGGAAGGTCACCTGGATGCGCCTCACGTGCCCGGCGTCGACATGGAGGATGTTGTGCGCCACCGTCATGACACACAGCTTCTTCGTGTCTGGAATGTTCACGGCGAACCCCGTCCCATAATACAGCATGTCGTCGTCGTCGCTCCCTTCCATGGCCAAAAAGACATGAGCACCTCGAGATGCAGACGATCAGTGGCATCCTACCGAAGAAGCATTTCAAATGGCACACACATTTGGATGGCTCGTCCGTCGAATCCATCGACATGGCGGCGATGTGACCATCAACAACTGCACGAGAGGCAGTCTTCAGCAGTGAACAAGCAGCAGAAGATTTATCCAGCGAGAGACGGATTGATGCCCTATGCCACGAGGCCACATGGACAGCCCCCTCGACGGCGAATCGCATGGCAGACAGTTGCTGCATCCCAACTCGCTCTTTTGCAGACTGAAGATGATCTGACTGCCTACCTAATTCCCTCAGGAGATGCCCTGCATGCGAACATGTCGTTTCCAACCCCGCCTGTTCTCTCCATGCGAAATTCATCCTCCTCAGCCTTCCACCGCCTCCTTCCACCGTCAATCTTGACCAGCTTTGATCGCGAGGGATTGGCATCAAGCCGCCAAAGATGGCAACGTCGACAAGTTGCAGACAATCATCCAGACGGCTGGCAACGTCAACAGTCTGGTGGATGACGTCCGCTGCACGCCCTTGCATTACGTCGCTGAAGAGGGCCACGAGCAGGCACTGAGGTTTCTGCTCCGCCAGAATGCCGTTGTCGACAGCCAGGATCGCTACGGAAGGACGCCCCTCTCCATGGCTGTTTTCCGGCGACAGGCCGCAATTGTCAAAATCCTTCTTGACAACAACGCCAATCCTGATGCGGCCTGCCAATGCGGGACTACGGCTGTTTCGAAAGCTGCAGAGCATGGCGATGTCACCATTCTCAACCTGCTCCTCCAGAAGGGCTCCAAAACTGATACGGTCAACGTCGACGGAGAGACGCCTGAGGACCTCGCTCGACACAACGGCCACGATGCAGTGCTGGGTCGATTCCGGTTCTACAAGACGCAGCGTCTGAGGTTGCTCTGGAAGGCCGCGCAGAGGGGATCCGTGGCAGAAATGCAGCAGCTGATTGCCAGTGGTGTCAATCCCCTGGGTCGAGATATGCAGGGCCATTCGGCCCTCGATCTGGCCGCTCAGAACGGACGCCGCGAAGCGGTTTTGTTTCTCCTGCGCGACGTAGGAGTTAGCGCTGCAGGAAGCGACAGCAGAGGAATCACACCCCTGCACTGGGCTGCCCAACACGGCCACGAGGACGTGGTCGACCTTCTCCTCCAGTACGACGCTCCGCTCGACGCGGCGGATCGCGCGATGATGACGCCTCTTCACCGAGCGGCCGAGAAGGGGCATGACGGTGTCATAACAGTCATCTCCAACCACCGAAACCGAGGAAAGAAGGTTGATTTTAACGTCAGGGGTCCCAACGGGGTTACGCCGTTGATGCTGGCTGCGCTGCATGGACGCGTGACAACGGTCCGGCTCCTCCTCAACCTGAGAGCAAATCCATACCTTAGGGATGGGAGGAGGGAAACGGCCAAAGACAAGGCCTACGCGAATCACCATGTGGATGTCATGAAACTTCTCACTCGCAAGCAAAGGTGATGACCTTGTCCCTGATCCTTTCATTTATCTTCACGCAGTTATATATGTGTGACTATATATTACTATCAATATATACTGTTCAATCAATGAACGCCCATCTATGTCGACCTTTCTGTCCACCACATCCACTGATCTACAAATTTCTGGTACATCATTCTAGCTAGGACCCCGATTACCCAAACGCCGGGTGCATTCCACCGTGCTTGAACCCATTCCGCCTCTTGATCCTTCCTCTGGCTTCGCAGAACCTCAACCAGGCCGTTCAGACAAGCGGCTGCCTCCTCTTTGTCGTCCGTGGACCGTTTCTCCCACCCTCGTAATGCACGGCGATATAGCTCTTCGGCCTCCTCATAGCGTTCCTGATTCTGCACTGTCAGGGCAAGGCGCCGTAGACAAACCAGCGTTGCTGGGTTCTCTTTCCCCTGGGAGTTTTCCATCGCGGCCAGTACTTCTCGACAGACCTTCTCGGCTTCGGAGTGTTTGTCCTGCCGCACTAATGTCCCGGCTAGGTTCTGCAGGCTAGTCAACGTGTACTGATGCGCCTCTCCCAGGACTCTCTTGTAGGTGTGTGCCACCTGCCGATACAGGTTCTCCGCTTCGGCGTATTTCCCCTGCTCCAAGAGCACGCAGGCCAGGTTGTTTACGCATGACACGGTGTCCGAGTGTGATTCACCCAACAGCATGGTGTAAAGATCCAACACTTGCTGATATATCTCCCACGCCTCATCGGTGCGTCGCTGGTCGCTCAGCACGCTCGCCAGATATTCTATGCTGGCTAGCGTCATCGGATGATCCCTGCCCAAAACTTTCATTTTTCCTGCTAAAGCACGCCTGTGCATGGCCTCCGCCTCTTCGTACTTCTCCTGGTTCGCCAGGACGACTCCAAGATCGTCCATGGTCGTCAGCGTGGCAGGATCGTCCTCTGAAAGGACTTTTAGTCTTCCAGCCAGCGCCTGCCGGTGCATGACTTCGGCACGACGATATTGACGCTGTTTCCGGAGCACTACACCCACCTCATTCATGCTCTCCAGTGTAGCAGGATTCTCTTCTCCCAGGACGCGCTTTCTCCATTCTAGAGCCTTCTGGTGCTTCTCCAGTGCCTCCGCATAGTGTCCACGACATTCCAACACGGATCCCAAGAGGGCCAGGCTGTCGACTGTTTTGGCATTATTCTCGCCGAGTAGCTTCCGACGCATGACATATGCGTTCTGGGCCCAGGTCTGCGCGACGTCGAATCGTTCCTGTTGCCACTGGTAGCGAGCTACCTTGTGCAACAGCTCCGCGTACGGCAGCGTGGAGGCGTGGCGGTACTCCAGTACGGCTTTCGCATGAGGAAACAGAACGCGGCACTGCTTCCAGTTCTCATACTCGGCGGTAGGGAATAGTCTCGCCAGCTGTTCGACAGCTTTGCCATGATAGTCGCCCACTTTGCGCTTCTTCAGCCAGTCTTCGGCTGCCCACTGCACATGCTGGTGCATCGTGAATGTCTCACCGTCATTCTCAGCTGTGATCAGCGACAGCGACATCAGCTTGCCGAGCGCGTTAGTGAATTCCGCTTCAAGTTCCTTTTCTTTTCGCAGAAGCAATTTGGGGATCTCTTGCCATTCAAGCACCGACATCAGGGAAAGCAGTTCTGCCGCCCGGGGGTCCCTGGCCACCCGATCGAAACATAGTTGGAAGGTGAGTGTCACCGACCTCGAGCCACCGTATTTTAGAAGATATTGCTGGTCAGCGGGACTCGTGCGAAGGATTTCGATGAATCTGCCAAGGGAAATCCCGTTGTCGTTGATGTACGCGGCGGCCTGTGTAATGGCGAGAGGCAGCTTATTGAGCAGTGTGGCCACCATAACCGCCTTTGTCTCCTCGTCTGGTTCGTTGTCCTCTCGAGTTATCAACCTGGCTCGGAGCAACTTCGCCGCTTCCTCCACAGTTGGGCATCTGACTTTGATGGGCTCCGCCCTGGTCAACCGTCGACCGACACTCTCATCCGTCGTAGTAACGAGGATGGAGCAGGCGGGACTTTCTGGAATGTAGCAGCTGGAGAAGTCGTCGCTGAAAAATGAATCGCGGTCACCTGCGCCATCCAGAACGATAAGCCAACGGCTGTGAGACTCATGTCTGAGCCTCTCGGCGACTAGATGCAGGACGTCCACCCTGGGGTTGTCTAACCCGGGCAGGCCCAAGTGCTCTGCGAGGCCCTTGTATGCCAGCGCAAAGCTTTCTTTGCTGCCGGCATGGACCCAGAACACGTTTGTTTGTGGCTGTCTGTCTTTGACCCGGTAGCAGTATTCGATTGCGATTTGAGATTTCCTGATAGACATGTCTATCAATCAGTACGCTATTTCGACCGGAATTTATACGTCCCAAGTTTATATTTCCTGAGTTCCTTTGTGGGAAGATAGAACGTACCCAACACCGCTCATCCCCGCAATCGCGACCCGCTGTCGACGCCGCAGGAAAAACATCGCGTCAATCTGATCGATGACATCTTCGCGCCCGATGAAGTTGGGATCTCGGTTGTAGGGCATTGAGAAGAGCGCACAGACGGCTTGCCGGGTAGGCATGCCATAGCCTGGGATGCCATTATAGATCGAAGGATTGTGCGTACCACCGACATGAACCGTCTCAGCATAGATACTCCCGATAGCGTTGACAGTTCCGTTGTCGTGGACGGTGTTTGGTCCCGAGAAGTGGGATCCTTCTTGCCGCGAAGTAACAGTCGGCACTGCCTGGACAGGGCTCTGGCCTTGGCTGTGCAGATCCATGGTTATGATTCAAGATACGGTACGATAGCATAGCAATATCATGCTATCTCGATAACAGAGGGGAGGAAAATAAAGATAATGCAGTACGGTACTTAAAATCATATTACAACAGCAACTTTGGTAGGAGTGTCTTCATTGAATATTGTTTTATCTTGAGTGCCATGCCAACATGCATGGTTGACTATCGACTACCTCAGGCACTGACTTAGTTGCGTTAATGCAGGGAGCCCAACCAACTGATCTGGCCAGGCACAAACACAGCTGGTTCTGGTCCATTCATCCGCGACTTATTTGCTGGCTGCCGCGTGGCTCGCGCCTAGCCGTGGTTCAAGCCAGGAATAGACCAAGGAATAGATTGCCACCTTCGAAATGTCGTTGAGCTTTACAAGATCGATCTCTCGTGTTCTAAATATAGATCGATCCTAGGTATAATGGCTTCTTACTACACTACTGTTGTACGTTCGCCTATGGTATTACCGTGTCTCTACCAACTACTGACTACTATCGGAAATAAAACTAGGGTTTTCTGTAGCAAGCACGAGCTCAATGATATGCTCACGCAACATCCCACCTAACTAATACGGCAATGGACTAAAAGTAAAGATCTGAGGTCAAGTCCGTACCTGCATACCATCTACCTCAGACCAGTGTTCCCCTTTCTAGCTTGGACATGGTCTTAGTGCTCTGATCCCCATCGTCTTCCGTCTGCTGTCTCTAAGATTTTGTCTTATGAGTGCCATGTGCTATGCAACGCGTCTCTGATCAATTCACAGTCACATTCCCACTCCCAGAAGCAATGTTGCCGATCTGATTGACTCGACCAGAAGTGATATGATTGGCGCCAGAGAACACGGACCTCCTTGCTTGATATATATATCAGACCGTTCTGGAGGAGACGAGTCAACGTTTTCCTTCCCTTTCTCAGCCAACGCTTCTTTCGCCATTGGTACATCGACAACCCGTGCTTTTGGAATGCCATCGAGTTCTTTCGCACACGCAGCCGCCGTCATGGCCGCATATTTCTGTCAGTGCTTGTTCTTGTGCGAGTCGGCATAGTCGCAGATCCCCCGGACGACGAGACAGGGGAAATGGTCCATCAGCCCTGCGGCCTCCATCTCGAAGCAGATCACTCCCAGCTCCTTGGCCAGCCTGTCGCGCGTGAGACCGTCCTTCATGACCTGGTTGGCTGACGCGATCAGCCCGTAATGCACCTGTGGTCCGTCCACAGCCCGGGCTGGTCGGTCCTTCAGCTTTGTGGAATCGCAAGACGCGCACGTCTTGTTCTCAGGGGGGTGGACATAGTCTGCTTCAAACAGCTGATCATTCTCCGCTCCCGGCGAGCGGCAGAACTCCTGCTGCATGCGCGGATGCTTCTTCGCCGTCTCCTGCAGGAATTCCATGATGCGATTCTCGCCAAGCAGATGGTCTGCTTCGAGGCTGGCGACGGCTCTGGACGAACGTGCCGGCGAGATTCTTGCCCATGTCGTATTGGATCACCCCGCCGGAATGCCGACCGGGCTTGCTGACCACGACATCGCCCAGGCGAAGATTGATCTCCTCGCTTGGCACGCCACCACCAATGCCAACCATCAGCCCGATCCGGATGGACGGGAAGCTTGCCAGCATCTGGACGGCCACCGACGCGGCCGACGTGGTCCCATACACGCCCGCAGGCAGACAGGCGATCAGCACGTCGTGCTCGCCGATGCGGCCCAGTCGGTAGTTGTATCGATCAGAGACGGCTTGCTCGAGCGGGCGTCCGCGGTCTTCGTCCAGGACGGCCCTCGCGGCGGCCATTTCGAGGGGGAGGGCGCAGATCCAGCCGACGGTGCAGCTGTCCATGATGGAGAGAAGAACCGTTCCAAGTCAAGGTAATTGCAGAGAAGCTGAGGCTCTGACCTCATATATATATATACTCAGGTAATGCGAGGGATTGCCTATATCCAGGCAGGATTAGGTGGGAGGTTTGTTCTGAACAACACTACAGTCCTCGTACTGGGATAGCATTTGCTTATACACGACCTGATTATCGACATTCTTCTCTTCTGTCACCACTCGAGTCCAGCAGGACGACAACAACGGTCAGGTATGCATGCCGCTAGGTATCTATACAGCCCACTGCCTTGATATGTAGGTATGTTGATCGCTCAGTCGCACTACGTGGCTGGCAATTGTTGAACAGCGAGTACCGGAGAACTGCATGTGATGATAGATGGGAACGATCAATTGACCAAACAGAGCTTTGTGCAGCTTTTGTTGAGAGATGACAGACTCGATGCAGCTGCGGCTGCGAGCCTGGTACGTACGTTCTCTTTCTGTTGCCAGGATTGCCGACAGCAGGCACTTTGGAGCCATTGAAACCTGGCTTGGGAGGCGACGAAGAAAACTCAGAATGAGTGGCTATGAGTCCACTCTTCCCGTTGAAATTGGACTTGGAAAGCGATCCAGTAGCATCTTTTGGATGTGGTTTAGTCGTTCCAGGATCGCCGACTGGGGGAGCCTTTCTTTCCCTGGAATTCGACCTTGAACGATAGCCAGAAGGAGCAGAAGGAGCATTTTGGTTGCCATCACCTCCATTGTGGTTTGGCTTAAGGTAAGACCCATGGTCGTTGTTTTGCTTGAGATTTGGGCCAGCAGGAACAGCAGGAGCTTTGATGCCGTTGATCTTCGACTTAACAGACTCCGCTCGTTCTCCAGGGTCGTCGGCGTTGTGACTCTGAGTCTTAGGCGAAAATACCCTCTGAGGATCGGCGTCGTAGGGCTTGACATAGGGCTCGACACCATTGTCACCGCCGCCGTTGATCTCCAGCATCTCACCCAGATCCTTGACCAGTTGCTTGACGAATTCCATGATCTTCCGGTTCGACTTGGAGATGGCCGCTTCGTAGGCCTTCTGCTTCGCCTGCGTCGACAGCCGGAAGAAGTCGCCCAGTAGGTCCATCTTGGGCTCGTCGCGCAACGCCGTGATCATGACGTCCCTGAGGCCGCATTTATAGAGGCCGTCGGCCAATTCAGAGAGCAAGTGGATCACTTTCTTTTTGCTTGCCATCGTTGTCGTTTCTTTCAAGGGCTGTAAGGGGAAGATACTGCTCTCAGTTGTCGGAATATGGGATCCTCACTCAGAGGCAGTAGGCAGAAGGCTTGCTTGGGAGAACTTGACCGGAGCTTCGTCCATCAAGCTGGTTAAACTGGGCGATATATATCTTCTGGAATAGGAAGGAACCCCTGGAGGCAAGGAATCGCCTTGTTCCAAGAGGCGTCAGGAAGACAACCCAGCTGATCATCGTCGTAGACTCTGTGCTGTCCTGTCGGCCATCTTCAAGCGTATCGAGGCCTGAATCATTGTTGCGCCCCCTGATTCCCTTGCACGCTGGGCACGAAGGCAAACAGGCAGATAAATGGGATGCTGGCCAGCTCAGCGCCGGGCGTCGCAGCTAGGATTGCGGCTGCCTCATCGGCATGTTCCGTCCCGCGAGTTCGCCCCTCATGCCGGAGATAGAGTTTTCTGCATCATCGTGCAGCAATCACCATCTGAACCAGGCGAACTGCAGAAGTGGGGTTGGGGCGATCTTCACGGGGCTGGCTGAATGATGGAGCCTACCGGGAGATCTGCTGCTAGCCAGTAGCGCCACGTCCGGACTCACGCCCAAAGACGAACTCTGTTCTTTTGATATTGATGTCATGACGTGGCATGTAGACGCCAGAGGCGGCGCACTTCGAAAAGTAGTAAGCAGAACTATCAGGCTGAGCACGACATGCATAGCAGCAATCATGCAGATCATCGTTCGATGTCTATATTAACTATTCTCTTTCTTGCTTGACATGTACTCCGCCACGCAACTGCATTCTTTATGAAGTAACGAGCTTTCTTCGTCCAAATATCCAGTGCAATCAAGATGAACAGAGCCGACACGGGTTTTGACAATGTCATCGCCGAGATCGTCGACGGCCATGTCACGCATATCATGTACCAGGACGAGGATTGTGTGTTGGAGGAGCGAGATTTTGATAGCGAGATGAGCCCCCCTGATCGAGTGGGAGCGGCCAAAGAAGCGACTCCGGGAGCCTACGTCCTCCTGGGGCCGAAGGTCGGTACTCTCTTCTATCCCCGTCATGTTTCCTCTCTTCTGAGTTGACGTAAACGCGCCTTTTACTGCCTTGATGGGCAAAACCGCCTCCTGGACTTCGAGTTCAACGAGTCCACCGAATGGGTTCCCGGCCAGCTGGCCTCCCTGGGCCTCGAGGTTCCCCCGTGGACGAAGATTGCCGCTGTATTGACGGAGGATTGCACGATCTTCGTCTTCATCCAGGACAGATCCGGCCAGATACAGGCTGTCTTCAAGCAACAACTAGATGACCAGTGGCAGGTTGTCACCGATCTTCCACCCACCGAGCCCTTCACTACCGCCCCTATCTACGCAATATCGTTGGATGACACAGTTCACGCGTTCTACGGCCATCGCGACAGTTCCATCCACGAACTCGTCCTGGTAGACGGCGTATGGCATGGTGAGTTGCTTTACATCTATGTTTCGAACGGATATGCAATTAACGACATGATAGACCGCGAAGTGCCTTCTACCGGAGGCGGATTGCCCAAAAGCCACATTTCCGCGATCATCATGGACGATAGATTCTTTCTCCAGTTCGCAGACAGCTCCGGGTCTGCCTTCGTCCTCAAGGACGGCAAAGCGCTACCGGTGGGAAGGATGACGGAATACGGGTTCCGGGAGTTCAACGATGCGGAAGGTCATGGTCCGAAGGAGTTGAAGTGGTAGCTGTCGCATTGGCAGGGGTAAACTATCTTCTGCAGGATAGGAGTGGTAGACAATAACATTGGCTCTTCATTTCACACGGATGCGCCTATAGACGGGATGATCTGCGTAGATCGCAATGTACTGTACGTCTGTGCTGTATAGGAGTTTGCATTCTAACCCATGATTAAAAACAGAGGAGGGTAGAAAATCCAATAGAATCAACAGATCAACAAGAGGGTTTCCAAAAATAAAGCTCCTCCATCTGCTCGGCAGTTCTTGCGGGCTTGCCTGGGCCTGCTATTGTACAGACTTCCGGCCCGAACCGTTCCAGGCGTAACCCTAATTTCCTCCTGACCCTCGCTCTCTCAATTTTCTTTCTTTTTGTACCTTTCTCCTCCGGGGATCTCCTCGGAGAAAGTCATGCTGGCTGCCTGCTACAGAGTAGACACGACAGTCAGGTAGCTATCTCTGGCAATTGGTTCGCAGAATGCAACCCTTTTCGCTCAGGCGCAGTTTTGTTTTGCTCATAGACTCTGTGTTCCTGCCGCTTTTCCCCACGAACTCCTCGGAGAAAAGGTTGCAGAGCCTCATCGTCCGGCGCCGCCCCGTTTGATCAGCGCGACACAGCACGACGCAGCGCCCGATTGCCAAATCAAGGAAACGAATTCAGTCATGATTGCAATACCGTTATTTCTGCCCTACAGCAGCATTTAAGACCACGTGGTGCAAGGAACAGAGATGGAACAGTGACCAGTAAGCAGCTTGTGGCAAATCCGAGACCCCTTAATTTCACAACTGGCCCCTCTTCTTTTGCTCCGCGCTATAGGATGACGCATGTATGTGCATGACCGCACAATCGTGTGGCCGATTACATGAGAAAGTATTTGACTTGCAGCGAGTAGCCTGCTTTCCTCTGTGTTGATGTCGATCAGGCACCACTACTTTCCTTAGCCACAGCCAAGATATACGCTGAAGGTTTGCATTTGCATTAGGATAGGAGGCGTTGAACAGAATGAGTCAATGTTCTGTCCATCACCGCCGGGTTTGCTATGCTTGCTTGGCACGACATAGAATTGAAGAGAATGTGCAAGGACGACAGTAATGATAATATGGCAGCTATGCATTTGATGCGTTGGATATTTATTCGTATGTGCAATTCTGCCCCTTTCTTTCTGGTGCCACTTCATTTGAGAGCGCAAAGTAAAGGGACATTTTTTCCTAAATAGGCTATATACCTGCTTGCCTGTCTGCCTCCAAGATATCAAAATTGAGAAGGCAACCCTACTCAGCCAGCCACCGCCATGACAACAATGATACTATTTTGCCCGATGATCGACAGACAGACTGAACATCTCCGCGGGCAGCATGTTGGAGATATTCTGGGTATACAAAAATTGCTACCTGGGGCATATCTCGACGGGTATATAGAGTCGTCAAGCTCTATCCCAGACGAAATATTTCTTTTCTCCAAAGCAAAGAAAGACAGCAAGCAAACAAGCTAGCTAGCTTGGACAGACTGACTCGAGTTATATCGATCGATCAATACAAGCAGTTCGTGATATCTTTCTTCATTTCAGTTCTTCGAGAAACATATCTTCTTTGAGAAACATTCCCTAGTCCGGCAAAATGGCGGGTCCAGGTATGTCCTTGCTCATTTCTTTATTTTCACACAGGTTTTTCTGATCTAAGACAAAAAAAAGGAAGTGATTCTCGTTCCTCGAATAGGCAATCTGGGTCGTCTGGTACATCGACTAGAAACTCGCAGTCTTCCCGTCAACAAAACCGCAATCCTAGAAGGGACAACGACCCCTCCAGTAAAAAAGATGAAGGGGCTAGGAATGGAGGTGACCCACGACCTGCGACGCCAAATCCTCCGTCGGACCAGAATGACGACAAAATGGATAGCCAACCCAGTCAACAAAACGGCGATGCTAACAGTGGCAAAGGCCCTGCCACCGCATAACAAAATGGGAAAGAGAATGGAACCAATCCACCACCTGCGACGCAGGATCCCCCGCAGGACCTGAATGACAACAAAACTGGAAAAGACGTGTTCGACTCACTCGAGGAAAAGACGGGAATATTCGAGAGGATTCTCAGAAACCTGTCGACGGAGTCGAACGAGCGGGAAAAGCGGATCAAGGATCTTGAGGAGGAAGTCCAGAGACAGAATGCACGCATCAAGGAACTCGAGGAAGACCTGGAAGACAAGATCAAGAGGCTGGTCTCTATCGACAACAAATTTGGAGGCCTTATTGCGATGTACAAGCAGTACGACAAGTAAACAAGACTATCGGCATGTGAATAGGTGAGTCGATTTCATTGCTTATGTTGAACGAAATTTAGTCATCGTTCCAATGCTAACTGAGGTCTTGTTTTGCAGTGGAAGCTACCTAGATTATGTACCTAGGTAGTGGAGGGTTAGCTCGTGGAAAAGGACTGATGGTTTCGAAAGAGGATTCTGGAACGAATGGATGAATTTTTCTGTCTGTCTGCTTGTCTTTTTCCTTTTCTTCTCTTCCTTTGCTTTATTTATTTTTAAATTGTTCTTAAATTGTTCTGTTTCCTATTGTTCTTTTCATTTCTTATTTTTCGTGTTTTTCATGATGAGTATTACTCTGATCAGTCGGTTGGTGAAGGAATAGGGAAATTGGTAAATTGTCTGATATGGATTGATTAGATTAGGGTTATCAATCTGCTTTATTTTACGACTTTTACGACCAAACTCCCCGCACCCACTCATGCAAGCTCATTGTGTATGGCTTGTTTATTTCTTTCTGAAATGAGATAAAATACAAGAAAAATAAATTGGATAAAATGACTAAGTTCTATTCGAGAAGACAGCGTTCCTGATGGAGTAATAAGAAGTGGATTCGACCGCATGACGTGGCAGCCGTGTTCCCGCTATCTGTCTGTTTGAAACGATATTCTGCAGCGTCTTCCCTCTCTTCCCCGGCCAACAGGATTCTACCCTCTAATAATTCCAGAACCCCGCTAGCTCATTGCCTCCTTTTTTTTTTCTATTTTTTGTTCCTGCACGCTGCTGCTGCGAATGATATGATCGACACCAACTAAAGTCTAGGCTAGACAACAGTAGGTCGTGGCTGGAGCTCTGGGCTAGTTACATAACTCCACACGTTTCAGTTTCAACGTTTAGCTGCCCAAGCCTGTGTTGTGCATTCCCATGCTACCTATTATTTAAGTGATCCGGCTAGGACTGGGAAATGGATTTTTGCCACGCAGTTAGAGATGCCGTGACGTTCACTGCCTAGATATTTAATTAACCTGTTGGATCTGTTCACGATAAATGCCGAAAAGGATCTGTAAGGGACGCCGGGCATCCATGCTGCACAACATCCTTCGATATATTTCTATATCCTACATCTTGGGCCGCCTTCGAGGGTACATATCTGACGACGTTGCCGACCAGCTCACTGAACAAATTCGAAGTTCGAATTTGCACATCTACTGCGTTGAGCCCAGTTAATCAAGATTATGCATAATCAAGTGTGCTGCTGATAAGAATCACTACTATCCGAAACACGGCAAGATGGCCACTAGAGGTGTGTGAGCACAAAAAGTCAGCTCTGAACTGGAATTAGCATTAACCTCCGTCCAGTCCAGACAGATCTACCACAGAGGAGAGGGTCTGATCTACGCGACCGACAACCAGAAACACGGAACATGGCGGATTCACAGAAACAATATCATTCGAGCATGCCGTCCAGCCTCACTCGAACCAATTCGGAGCAGGAAAAGCATCAACACCGCTTCGTCCAGGGCTTCGAGGAGAAGCCGGAAAAAGTCGACGATATCATCAGCCGATTAGACGGGGAGAATGAGCGACTCGCCTTGGAGAATGCGAGATTGACGTCCGAAGGCGAGGAATTGAGGTCGGAACGAGAGAGATTGAGGTCAGATAATGAGAGATTTGCGTTGGAAAATGTGCGATTGACGTCGGAAGCCGAGGGGCTGAGATTGGAAAGGGAAAGACTGGTGGCTGAAGTTGAGCGACTGACATCGCAAAGCGAGAGACTGGCGATGGAGAATGAGCGGTTAACATCCGAAGGCGACGGACTGAGGTTAGAAAGAGAGAGGTTGAGGTCAGATAAGGAGCGACTGACGTTGGAAAACGGGTTATTGACGTCCGAAGGCGAAGGGCTGAAGTTGGAGAGGGAGAGACTGCGATCTGACAACGCGAGACTGTCGACTGATGTTGGGAGACTGATGTCGCAAGGGGAGAGATTGGTAGTGGAGAACGAGAGATTGGCGTCGCAAAACCAGAGACTGACGTCGACGATTGCAAGTTTGAGGGCTGATCTTGCGGAGATCAAAACGGAGTTGAGAAATCGTCCCTGTTGTTGCGTGTGCTGAGTGCGCAGGACGCTTGTATCGGATGAAGTCGAATGTATAACAGACTGTTCTAATTCGTTCGGGAACTTATTGTCAATAATAGTGATGTTTCAACTACTGGTCAGCCATCTTAGCAGAAAGACAGAACCTCCCTTATTTTAAAAGCTCTACAATTGATTCACTTTCTTTTGGAGAGTCCCTATCCTGTCAAATCGTCGATCCAGGTCGACTTAGGCGAGTTTTTGATTCCCATTTTCCAGGCTCGCTCGTACAGAGAGCAATCAGCATAAGCGAAGGAGTTACTCCATCAGTATGGTACAAGCCTCTTTTCTTCTAGAAAATCCTGTTTATATATCGGATATCATGAAAGTGTCACTTCTTTCGGGACAGCTACAGAGATCGAATCACACGATTATCTCTTCTCTCGGCCAGCGATACCTGGATCATGAATCTGGCAGAGGTTATCAACAGAAGGTAGTGGCTCCACAGAGGGTGCTTCACTTGGTGATCTCTGCATGTTATCAACGAAACACTAGAGATTTCTGTTTATGCTCCATACCTCTCTAAGATCTCTTGGCGTCAGATACACAAACAGCGAGGCAGTCCTTTTGTTCCAGCACCTTGCCCAGAAAGAGCAGATTCTTCAGGGATCAGCCGGCTCGATAAGCTCACCAAATCCATACCCAAACAAGGTGACTGCATGAATGGCCGGATACAGCCTTTTCCTGTTGGTTGAAGCGTAATTACGCAAAGTGAGACCTGGTCCGCATCTGTGGCCACGTTCTGGAAATGGAAGCCTTCGAGTTGCTGTCGTGGTGTGTGCTTGACTTGAATCCAATCCCATCTTCTGCATTTACCTGGCTCTTGTGAGCAATGATCTGCTCCAGAATATGGTAGGTCTGTTCTTCAGGGTCCTTCAGGCGAAAATCCTGGTACAATTCCAAGTTGTTGTAAGCGGTGGATTTGTTCCGTGTGTTGCTGCTGCTTTCTCCACGAAGTTTCCCACTTGAAAGGAAAATATCGTCGAAATTGTTCCTCTCAGCGTACTAAGACACTCAAATGAGGTGCAGTAGGGCCCTGACTCTGATAACAAGCCAGCCTCGTCTGTCTATCGCGTGGTACAGCATGACGATTTTCGAGTAATCCACCTGAGTTGCACATCAGGTTTATCTTCACGATTCCAGATCGTTCAGCATCTGTGCATATGAGACGTATTCTTCGTTGCAGACGCGTATTCCGAGTCTGTAGTAGGTCCAGATTGGATATCTTCAGGCAATTCTATTGTGTCATCGGATGAACTGCCGGGTGGACTTTGTATTCGTCCCAGTGGTCGACTACATAGTTTTTATCCTGTCGAGCTTTTGTAAGAGCAGATTCAGTTGCTGTCAAGCCATCTTAAGTCAATGCACTGCTCTGAATAGATAGAAAGGCCATTTCTTCCTTCTGATCGAGTTTACAAGATAATTTCCAAGGAAGAAGAACAATAGCTGATCCGGTGACAGTACAATACCGTACATGACCGTACAATACGCCGGCGCGGGTGATCTGCAGATAGCGGAGCGGTGGAGTCATCCCGTGATCCATGCTATCAGCTCAACTTCACCTTCACCTGCTCTGCCAGGCCTTGCTTTGCTCTCTCTGGAAGAGAGCTGAATCTTCTTTCTTCGAAGAAAACTTCCTTATATTCAATCAGCCAGTCAATCAGCCAGCCAGACCTGGTCCGGTGCGGTCACTATGGACCCCGTCACCCCCAACTGCCAGCAGCTGGCCAGGCCGGACTACTTCAACTTCACCCTGTCGGTGTATGGCAGCCCTTCCAAGAATCAATCAGATGCTGTTTCCTAGCATACACTGACTTTACGCGCAGAGCCATCCTCGTCGGAATCCTCATCTCCTACCTCCCCCAGCACGTCCGGATCATCTCGCTCCGCAGCTCCTTCGGCATCTCGCCCTACTTCGTCCTGCTGGGCACGACCTCGGCCACGTCGGCGTTTACCAATATTCTGGTACTGCCGCGGAGTGCGCGGGATGTCGCCTGCTGCCGGGAGATTAGCGGTCTGGCGTGCTTCGCCGGGCTGCTGGGTATCTTCCAGGTGGGCGTGCAGTGTTTGTGTTTCTATGTGATGTACGCTCCATCCGAACTGTATACTTCATTTATGCCGTATACTTCAGTCGTGCTCACTGACTTTGGTTGTAGTCTCCTCCTCTTTCTCGTTTTCTACCCCCGAGCAACCCCTCCGACGACTCCCACGAGCCCTGTTTCTACCACGAAGCCAGCGTCTGATGCCATCCCGCCGTATCGCACCGCCGTCACCGTCGCGATCCTCTGCATCGTCCACGCCGTCATCCTGCTGCTGACGTCGATTTTCATCGCCATCACGCAGCCCTCGCACCTACAAGCCTGGGCCAATATTCTAGGGATCATGGCGACGATCCTCGCGTCAATCCAGTACTTCCCGCAGATCTACACGACGTTCCGGCTGCGGCGCGTCGGCAGCCTAAGCATCCCGACAATGTGCATCCAGACGCCGGGGAGTCTGCTGTGGGCGGCGAGTCTGGCGGCGCGGCTGGGCACGGAGGGGTGGAGCGCGTGGGGGGTGTACGTGGTGACGGCGCTGCTGCAGGGGACGCTGCTAGTGATGGGGATCTACTTTGAGTACTTTGGGCCAAAGAAGGATATCCTGCCGCGGCCGGTCGTAAGACAAGACGTCAATGATCAGCAGCCACATGAGGAAGAGCCATCTGAACAGACACCGCTGCTGCAGAGTTAGACAAATATATCCTTGTTTTTGCTGTTATCGATATCCAGTCGTGTGCACTCAGTTGATTGGACTAGGTCGGGTACCTAGAAACACACAACACCGTAGGCAGGTCTATCTATCTGACGAAGCCAATTGAACTTAATACACACTAACATAACCAATCCATGCTATACAAATACAATACCATAATACCAGGAAAAAAAGTACTTAACAAACCCCTCACGTCCTAGATACCTACCTACACAGCACCTACATATATACTAGACACACTCTTCAAAAATAAGACGCATAAATATCCCCCCTTCAGCCCAATATTCATTCATTTACTTTACTTCTCAGACCTCATAACCCCATCCTTCCCCCTCCAAAACCCCTTACTAACCGTCCCCTCATCATCAATCTGATTATACGCCCGATCATACCTCTGCTCCAGCTCGCGGTTGTGTTGGCGCACGTCCTCGGGGACATCGGCGCGGGGGTTGCCGTTTGCGTCGACGTTGGGCGATTGTCGTCCGTCGGTGAGGGTTGGGCGAGCTTTGTTGGAGGGGATGGGGGGGCTGTTATTTGATTCTTGTGGTTGTTGTTGTGCTTGTTGCCCTGGGAGATCGCCTGATGGTGAGGCGGACAAGGAGGGCGGGGAGGATGACGAGGATGTAGATGCGAAAGAGAGGGATGCGGTGCCTGGTTCGGGGTTTGGTTCTTGTTCTTGTTCTTGTTCCTGTGCCTGTTCCCGTTTCGAGGGAATGGGAGGGGGTGGGCCTGTATCATGATTCATCAATATGAATATCAACAGCCGTATACATAAGAAATATAATATATAAGAAATATATATTGCAGGCTACACACCAGGATGCTCAATCTCCCTCGTCCTCTGCGACGCGGGCTGCTGTCCGCCAGACTGGTCGTTGCCGCCGTCCGAGCTGGCCGCGTATGTCCTTCGAGAAAATGGCACGGTAGAGGTGGAGAGAGGCGTAACTGAGGAATATCGCGACAGGAGGCAGCGACTGCCGGTCACTGCTCGCCGGCCGCCGCTGGCGGAACTCAGACGGAGGATGGGGTTCATCCTGATGGGTAGAAGGGAGATTTGCAATACGACTGAAATAGATATATATAACTGAACGATAATAGAGCTGTAAGATCTAGATATGTACTAATGCTTATACTGCAACGCTGCATAGAATGCTCATGCTCTACGTTCTTCGAATGTACTACGGCTGGTATGACGTTGACCCCCGTCATACGGCAAAGTCGACCCGATCGGTTCAACAAACAATACATTGCTCATGCTATGCTGATAGCGAATCAACATCCATTAGAACTCCACCGCACCAGCCCCATAACTATCCATGCGCTGACATACGCCGCTCTCAAGAGCACAACATAGGCACCTCGCAGTGCCTACGCGGCAAGCAAGCCTGTCGAAATATAAACGAGAGCCGGCATTCCCACTCAAGAACGTACTAACATGGCAGCCATAACCAGATCCAGTCCAAACGCCCATAATTTGCACGACAATATGGATCAGAAGAGAACAAACAAATCAACATCCAAGTCCAACCGAGATAGCGTCTGTCAAACAGTTCGACCAGTGACTTACAAAGCCACAAACACGACAGTGGTATAAAAGAAAAAAAGAAATAATAAAGAAAAAAAGAATAAAAGAAATATACCAAATGCAGTCATATCCACATCATGAATGACCCCCCAAACGCCAGCGTCCGTGATCCGAGACCGAAAAGAATCCCATGGTCATACGGCGCAACCTACCCACTGAGCCACTCACAATAACAACTATTGTCATAGCTATTATCATCTCGGCCCCACAGCCAGCCGTCTTCCGCCCGCTTCTGGGGAGAGCCACTGCTCGACGGCTGGACCGTTTCAATTGGGATCAGATTGTTCGACAGCGGTCCAATCCCAAGGTTGTCCAGAACCTGCATCTGCATGCAGTAGGGCTGGGGCGCATTCGGGATCGCTCGTTTCTCTTCGATTTTGATCCGCCGTGGGTAGTTTCCGGGGCCCGTCGTCGTTTGACGCTTGGCTGGTGCGGTCGTCTGGGGAGTGCCCATGGTCATAGTACCGAGGCCACCTCTCGCGGTGGTCGTCGGCGGCGCCGTCACCATAGCCGCTGGAGTCGAGACCGGAGTGGCACCAGAGCTCGTTTCATTCACATAGATGAAGAACTCCATGGCGGTGTCGTTCCACCAACAGAACCAGGGCTTGTCTCCCGGCTTAGCCACCTGCTTGCGGTGCCACTGGGTAGCCAGGATGTCCAGTTCGGTGATAGACCGCTTCTGTGCGGATGGCGTGGGGAATGCATCTTCCTGAACGATGACTAGCTTATTAAAGGGAGAGCTGAAAAATAGGGCGGGTCCGAAGTCCACGTCGTCTTTGTCGAGCATCATGTGGAGCTCCTGGGTCGGCGTGGGCAGGAACGGTGGCTGGGCTCCATACGTGAACGTTCCATCGATAACCGGAGTAGGGATATAGATGGACGCGTGCTCGTTCGAGCCTTGGATCTCGATGTCGAGGAACCCTTCATTCTGGCAGCCCCACGCGGATGCATAGGACGTGCTTGCGATGCAGAATTTGGACTGATTCTGCGTGCTGGCCGGGACCGTAAACCGGCCCGTAGGGAGGCCAGGCAGGTTCGTGGGAGTGGTCGAGAGAGGCGTCACATCGGAGGTATATGTCACCGTCACGACGCTGGCTCTCAAACTCGCACTCTCCCGCGCCCGTCGTAACGATCGCTCCTCCGCCCTCCTCTCGCCCAGAACACCACCGATGACGCCTCCAATTAAACCGCCGATCAACATGCCAAGTCCCAGAATTGCTAGCAACCAGACCGGGACTCCGCAACACGTTTTCCTGTCTCTTCTCAATTTCTCTTCGAACTTGTTTCCGGCCAAATTGTCCGAGGTGGATGCGGACCGGCCGCTTGGCTCTCTCGAATTGACATTGACCAGCGTCCCTGAGGACACGTCCGAGGGCGGCGGCGGCGGCGGCGGCGGTGGCGGCGCCATGGCCATCGGGGCCGGAGGATCTTGCTCTGGGATGGCACTGTCAATGCCGGGGGGTCCCATGCCGGTCTTGGGCGGAATGCCGTCGGGATAGCGAGAGTAAGGCGGCAGCTGCTCCAAGTGGCCGTCCGGCCCAATAATGTCACCGACGTCATTGGGCTGGGCGGGTTCTCTCTGGTAGGCCTGGAAGGAACCGGGGAAACCGACGGGGATGGGCTGGTCATCCATGCCATCGAGAGCAATGTTCTGCTGGTACATGGCGTAGGGGTGTTGGGGAGCACTCCTCCCTTGCAGCGGAGCATCTGGCGGTCGGACTGTCGACGTTGTTGCGACACTGGCGGAGCGGCTGACCCCGATCTGGGGATACATGGCATAGGGATGGCTGGGACCGGTTGCTCCGGTGTACGGGCTCATGGCCCGGGGTATCGAGCGCTGTGCTGCCGACCGATTCGACACTGACGAGGTTGTCGTCACCGAAGACTGGCGGTTGTGCAGGTCGCTGCCGCCCTTCTGGATGCTTGGACGGCGGGGGATTTCATCGAGGGACGAGCGGGCCTCATCGGAGAATGGGTTCGCGGGGGCATCATTCTCAGCCGGCGAGGATTCTGACGTGCTCTGAGCAGTTTGTGTTTGGCGGAGAGTCGCGGAGGAATCGGTGGAGGAGACGGAGAGGGATCGACGGGGACGGTCAGTGCTGGGGGGATCTAAGGGTTCCACAGAGTAGTCGTCGGAGAAGACGTTGGGATTCGTCGAGGCACGGGACAGCGACTGACGGGGGAAGAGGCTCTCCTGCTGTCGCATCTCAGGCTGAGACTGGACGGAGCCATCCTGACTCTCACGGGTTGATTGTTCATACCCAGCCATGGCGTCTCATGGGCCCTGCCGGGCGACCCTTTTCCCGGCGACCACGCGCAGGACGAGGAAACAGCGGGTTGGAGGGACGCGACCGAACGGATGCAAACGAATGGAGTCGTCTCTGTCGACGACAGAGGCGTGCTGGATGAGAGAAGGGCGCGTGGGGGAGAATGGTGATGGAAAGAGCAACGTTTGGCGGAGGGACGTCGAAGTCGGGCGAGCAGGTCAGGGAGCGACAGGCGGTGCCGGCAGAGGCCTGCGGTCGGGCTTGGCAGGCACGGCGGCACGAAACGCAGACACGGGGCACGTCCTGGCGATTGCAGCGTCGAAGGCAGGACGGACAATTCAGCGGCCGATAATAATGCGAGACTGCCAAAGCACAGGCAGTTTCTGGCGCTTGGGGGGTTGAGGGAGCAGTGTTGCATCCAGCAAGCATAGCCTGAGGTGTCTGCCGCCCGTTTCTCGCCGGAAAAAAGTGGCTGCGCCCCTGCCCGGCGCGGAATTGCAACCGCCGATTGGCTGGCTCGCTCAGCCACAGCCCGTCCGCAGCGTCGCCTCTGATTGGCCAATTTGAAGACTTAGTCAGCGTATCGACAGTGTCACGTGCCACCCTTCACTTATCGATTCACTTATCGATAGAAACACATCAGTCTAGAGTATTTCAGAAAGAGATGTCTCTTTCAGACTTCGATAGCAATGACGGAGAGCAGAGTACAGCCTCTCCCGTTTCAGATAGTCAAGGAGAAAGGAACAGTTCGGAAAGCATCACTCAGCCTCAATCACGAATACAGATCCTCAATGAGGCACACTATTGCATACAGAGCCTACTGGATGGATGTTCATCGCTGTTTTAAATATTCTCGATAAGGTGCCCCCAGTAATATGTATAACCAACGGAGTTGTCCTATTGAACTGTCTGTCTCTCCAGAACGTGCCTGTGCTACCTCCACGCGGATATATCTATTCCCATCGATAGAGCGGGCTGTCGCAGCTAGTTAATAGCTAGTCAGACTAATTAGATAAGCTGTCATCATATAAAATTTTCATCGAAACCAAGTCCATTCAGTAGATAATCCAGGAATAATTACTACTTACTAATCACGTTGAATCTGTAACATAAAAGGCAGATAGATATTACCCAAAACTGCATCTCCCGGCTTCGACCTTCCTAATCAGGCATGAGATCACATCGCAGGTTCTTGGCGGAGCAGAGGGGAGGGATTCGCGGAATATTAATTAACATGAATGGGTTTGGAGATCCGCCCATCATTTCAGTCTAAGTGCGGTGTTTTGTTACTAGCTACGTAGTTAGCTTCGAGGCTACCTGAAGGGATACATGCCACTTCGTACAGTACTAACGGACGATAAGCTGTTGATTATCTTATCAGCTGTATGCCCTGTGCTGTGCTGAGCGGAGCGGGGAGGAAGGATGCTCTCAGCTTGATTACATGTACCTGGGTATCTACATATTGGTTGCAGTGCAGATCTACAGCGTGAGACAAGACGATACTGGTAACCAGACTGCGAAATTGTAACAATGGTGTCCACCGTCTACGTCCCCGTCACACACCCCCAGCCCTGCCAGCAGTCCTCAGAGTCGATACGCAATCGCATCGAGATCGTGGCAGAGGACATACCCGAACTCGAGCGTTTCTACAACATCATGACCTCACCCCAGAGAGCAGCCAGGCTGCGAGTCTACTACGACGAGCAGCTCACGGACTTGACCCGCGTGGCCTTCGACTCGCTCGATCAACAGGGTAAAGTCGACTATCTCCTGCTGAAGAACTACCTCGAGCGGCGGAGGCGACAGCTCGATCTCGAGGTCGCCCGGGACCAGAAGACGGAGCCGTTGCTGGGGCCGTTTGCGTCCACTATCACGGCGCTCTGCGAAGATCGCCAGAAGGCACGGCCGCTGGACGCGAAGAAGGCAGCGCAGGATGTCCACGACGTCCAGAACGCAATCCAGACACTCAAAGCCCAGGTGCAGAACTCCCAGATCACCATGGACAAATTCAGCGCGTTTCGCGCGGCCAACACCGTCGACGAGCTCCGCGCCCGCCTCGCTGAATGGTATGACTTCTACAAAGGCTACGACCCCCTGTTCTCCTGGTGGGTGGCCCAGCCCTACGCTGCCGCTGACCAGCAGCTGGGCGAGTACGCGGCGCTGATCCGTGAGAAGCTGGTCGGCATCAAGCCCGGCGAGCAGGACGACGCCATCGTCGGCCAGCCCATCGGCCGCGACGGCCTGCTGGTCGAGCTGGAGGCAGAAAAGATCGCCTACACCCCCGAGGAACTGCTCTGGATCGGCGAGCAGGAGTACGCGTGGTGCGAGGCGGAGATGAAGAAGGTATCCCGTGAGATGGGCTTCGGGGACAACTGGCGTGCAGCCCTGGCGGTGGTCAGGGAGGACTACGTCGAGCCCGGGCAGCAGACGCAGCTGGTGCGCGACCTCGCCCTCGAGGCCATCGAGTACGTGCAGAAACACGATCTGGTGACGGTGCCGCCGCTCGCGGCCGAGGCATGGCGGATGTTCATGATGGCGCCGGAACGACAGAAGGTCAACCCGTTCTTCCTGGGCGGGCAGTCGATCATCGTGTCCTATCCGACCGACACGATGGACCACGAGGCCAAGCTGATGAGCATGCGCGGCAACAACATCCACTACGCGCGCGCCACCGTCTTCCACGAGCTGATCCCGGGCCACCACCTGCAGCTGTTCATCAACGCGCGACACCGGCTGTACCGGCGGCTGTTCGGGACGCCGTTCTCGGTCGAGGGCTGGGCGCTGTACTGGGAGATGGTGCTCTGGGACGACGAGCGGTTCCCCAAGACGCCGTCCAACCGCGTGGGGATGCTGTTCTGGCGCATGCACCGGTGCGCGCGCATCCTCTTCTCCATCAAGTTCCACCTGGGCCAGCTGAGTCCGGAGGAGTGCATCGATCTGCTGGTCGACATGGTCGGGCACGAGCGCGCCACGGCCGAGGGAGAGGTGCGCCGTTCGCTGAATGGGGACTACTCGCCGCTCTACCAGGCGGGCTACATGCTGGGCGCGCTGCAGCTGTATTCCCTGCGCCAGGAGCTGGTCGTCACTGGCCGCATGGCGGAAAAGGAGTTCCACGACCGGATCCTGCGCAACAACCAGATGCCTATCGAGTTTGTGCGGGCGCTGCTGATTGATCTGCCGCTGAGTGCTGACTATCGCGCGTCGTGGAGGTTCTATGGAGATCCTTCGAGGTAGATAGCCTGTCATTGGAGTGCTTAAAATCGTATATCATGCTGAAGTGCAGACAGTCGTACTATTCTCTTTTGCCTACCCGATACAGATACCGAGGGCGCAGATTGCAATCACCAGTAAGAAGCTCTTATTTGATGGAAATGCATGCATTTGAAAACGACTGTACAAATCTCGGCTGCAGACATTCTTTTGAATTCTGCTGGATTGTCCTAGAAGTCAACTCATCTCAACATCACAATAACACAATACAACATCAGGATACTGATGAATGGCAACTAAGCCTTCACAACAGTAAAGCCCTTAAACTCCGGCAGCACCGACCGGATCTCCTGCGCATATGCCGGCAACCCTCCCGCGTAGTTGACCTGCTCGAATGCCTTCCCCGGCACATTGCCGCCCATGTACGTCGACCGGGTCGTCGGGAAGAGTGTGATGTCGGACAGCTCGTTGATGCGCTTCTTCCACGCCCGGGACGCCTCCGGAGTCGGGTCAACGTACTTGATGCCCTGGCGCTCGATCTGCTTGATCGCGTCGACGATCCACCGGCCTTGCACCTCGACGCTCGTCGGTCCGTTACTCAGCAGCGTCGGTCCGTGGGGTCCATACAGGTGGAACATGTTCGGGTACCCGCTCACAGTCGTCCCCAGATACGTGTAGGCCGCCTCTTTCCATTCGTCCCGCAGCGTCGTCCCGTGAATGCTGCGAAGCCCCATGTTCGTCATGCCGCCAGTGGTGATGTCGAAACCGGTCGCCACGCAGACGACGTCGACTTCGTGCACGGTGCCGTCCTGCAGCTGGATGCCCGTCTCAGTGAAGCCCACAATTGGGTTGTTCTTGATATCGATCACGTCCACATTGGGCCGGTTGAATTGCTCATAGTAGTTGTACTCCAGACACGGCCGCTTCACCCCAAACGGATGTGGAGGCTCCAGGGGCGCAAGGATATCGCGTTTCTTCGGATCGCCAATGCGCTCGCGCACCTTCTTGGCCCAGAAGTTGTAGACCTCTCGGTTGGCCTTGAGGTCAAACAGGTAGTCCTTGTAGTTGCCCAGCCAGAACCGGAAGCCGCCCTCCTGCCAGAGCTTCTCAAAGAAGGCTTCTCTCTCCTCTGGGGTGTCCTCAAAGGTCTTCTTCTCGGAGAACGTGTACAGGAACCCCCCGAAGCATTTCTCCCGCAGCGAGAACAGCTCCGGGTAGAAGGCTTTGGACTGCTGCTGCTCCTTGACCGTGAGCTGTCTCTTGCGCATTGGGACTGCCAGGTTGGGCGTGCGCTGGAAAACCTTCAGCGAGCCGGCTACGGGACCCCAGGCCTGCGTCACCTGCACGCCCGAAGCGCCTGTTCCGATAATGGCGCAGCGCTTGCCGCGCACATCGACGCCTTCGTCCGGCCAGAAGGACGAGTGGTGAATGATGCCTTTGAATTTATCGATACCCTTGAAATCTGGGATATAGCGCTTGGCCGCGAATCCGGCCGCGACGACAAAGAATTTCGCCTTTGCGGTCCTGCCATCTTCGGTCTTGATGTGCCAGCGCCCTTCATCGGTGTGGAACTGCGCGTCGACGACAACGCTGCCGAAGGCGCAGTCCTTCTTGATGTCCAAGACCTTGTCGACGTGGTCAAAGTACTCCCGCAGCTCCTTGTAGGTCGGGTAGTTGCTGGGCCAGGTCCAGTCCTTCCACGTCTCAGGGATCGAGTACTGGTACTCGGGCACTTCAGAGTCGACGCCCGCGCCGGGATAGCAGTTCCACCGCCAGGTGCCGCCGAGATCGTTTCCGGCCTCGTACAGCACGGTCTTAAAGCCCTGCTTGCGCAGCTCATACAGGCAGTAGACACCGCCGAAGCCGCCGCCGACAACCAGGACGTCGACCTCGAGGTTGTCTGCATAAGGGCCTGTGGTCGAGGGGCGGTAGGCGTATTCTCGAAGTTCAGACTTCATCTTGCAGGAGGTATCCAGATGGTGATAGACGATGTAATGTCAGATATGTCCAAAGAACGCTGCTGTGAACGCATTCACATCATTGTGACCGGTGAAGCAGACTTCATGCGATTTAAGTATTCTCGATCGATATCGACGGGCATCTCGACAGCTTGTCCATCGTGTAGTCGACCCGTGTCAGTGTCAACGCTCCTCAAGCAGAACATGCCGTCGTTGCGGTTCCGCATGGGCGAATTCGACAGGGATAGATCGCAACAAGCTCTGAGTAGACATCTCTGCAGCAACTGAGCTGCCACAACTGCGGATCCGCAAGGAAGATGATTGATTGTTTCCTTGGTTTCGCTTCAGCGAAAGAAGTCACTCTCGAGCCGTGTGCGGAGAGAACCAGACTTCAGAGTCCAGGGGTCGTGGTCAGAAGATCCAAGCATTGTCATGTGAGTTTCCTGTGTTGAAGAGAAGGAGCTGCAAGCTGGAGGGAACGGTCTGTTTCTGGTCTGGACCATGTCAGTGCCTTCTCGCAGTCATCGCTAGTACCTGTATGATGTGTCATGGCCTATACATACTCCCATTAGACCGGACTCCTTTTTGGATCGATTTGTCTCCCGAAGCCTCCAGAACCAGACGGACACTGGTCTCAGATCACCGGTAAGCTGCCGTAAGAAAGCGCGTTTCGTGTCGACAGCTTAGTGCGGGGTTGCTGCCATGCGGATCCGCATGCTGCTGATCCACGCCAACGACAGCCACGACCACCCTTGGACCATGGCTGATCCAATGCGGGGGCTGAACCATGGGCGAGACATCGTTTTCTGTGTCGAAGAAACTAAGAACATTCCCCTCACTGCGCCGTCGATGCAGACGCCGGGAGAACAGACTATACCCAAACCGGCAATCTCAGCATGTGATCGTGCACGAGGAGTCGCCAGTCATTGGCAGTCACGAGTCAGGATACTCGATATTCGATAGCGAATGTTCCTGAAAATCGCTAGGCATTTGATCCTTTGCTACTCGGTTCCGGATACGCGTCGCTGGGAACTCGCGAGAGGCTTCCATGTCCTCCGTTTGTCCGGAACTCGGGGCCTCGTGGAGGTTCCTTCACCACCGCGATCGAATACCATTTTCCAATCCACGTCCTATCACGAAAGTTTACTCCTGGCACTGTTGGCTGAGATCAGCGTCTTAGAGGCAGATCGTCAGACGAGAATCACCGAAAATGCTAGCAGTCTGGATCCGCCGCCAGTCTGCTACCCCTCACTATGATGAGGGGCGCTTGTGAGCTATCGATGCTGACAGAGTCAGCAGGAATCGCAGGATCGGTGAGCGTTGTGGCAATGCTATATATATGTGCATCCTGACTCCGCGTGATGGCCACGACGCCATACCCTTCGTCTTCTTCCAGTTCCAGATCTCTAGCATAACGCTACCAAGATGGCTCTGTCCACCGAAACAATCAACACCCTCCGGGCGAAAGTCGACGCCGCTTGCGCCAACCAAGAGTCCGGCATTCCGGGAACCGTCTTCGTCGTGGTCGGACGCGATGGAAAGGAGAAATTCGCCTATGCAGGGGGCAAGCGTGGCTACGGGAGCTCGGAGCCAATGACGCTCGACAACATCTTCAGCATTGCCTCCTGCACCAAGATGATCACGGGCATTGCCTGCATGCAGCTCGTCGAGCAGGGACGCCTTGCCCTGGATGATGCTGCCCAAGTTGAGCGTCTGGCCCCGGAGCTCAAGGACGTCAAGGTCCTGCAGCCCGACGGAACACTGGTCGAGAAGAAACGGGGCATCACGTTGCGGATGCTTCTGAGCCATACAGGTGGGTGGAACAGACAAGATGTCAATTAACAAGCAGTTGCTAACGGATGAGACAGCGGGGTTCGGTTATTCCTTCTTCAATGAGCAGCTGAGAGACTTCAACCGTCCCACGGGCTACGACGAATTCTCGGGGCATATCTACGATGTGACCCAGCCTCTGACTTTCCAGCCTGGAGAGGGCTGGCAGTATGGCGTAAGTGACCATCTGGCGATGCAAGTCTCATGGGCTGGGCTGCTAACCACCCGCAGGTCGGGATTGACTGGGCAGGAATTCTCGTCGAACGAGTCACCGGTCTCTCGCTGAACGACTACTTCCAACGATACATCTTCGAACCCCTTGGCCTCAAGAACATCTTCTTCATTCCTAATGAGTCGATGAAGAAGAACCTGGCCTACATGCACCAGCGGGCGCCCAATGGCCAGCTCTCCAGGCGCGATCACCTCCTCCATCGTTCGCTGATCGTGAGACCTGGCGATGATTGCTTCCACAGCGGAGGTGCTGGTTGCTTTGCAAAGCCGCAGGAGTATTGCCGTATTGCCCCCTACCTAGTGCTCACATCAGCCAAATGGAGCTGCGGTGGCTGACATCACGTCAGAAATCCTGGCTACGTTGCTCAACAACGGGACCTCCCCGACGACAGGAAAGCAGATCCTGCGGAAGGAAACCGTCGACGAGATGTTCCGGAACCAGATCCCAGAGTTTCCCGACTTTGGCCGGAAACTCATCCCCGACGCTAAGCCCGACCTCACGAATCCGATCCCGAACCTGTACCCCAGCGATGGTCCGCAGGGCTGGGGGTTGACCTTTATGCTTACAGGGGGACCGACTGGCCGGTCATCTGGCACTGCCTGGTGGGCGGGTCTGCCGAACCTGTTCTGGTGGTGTGATCGCGAGAAGGGAGTGGCGGGGATGATCTGCTCTCAGATCTTGCCTTTTGCGGATCCCCAGATCCTGGGTCTGTGGATGGATCTGGAGGGTACAGTGTACAAAGCTCTTGCCCAGTAGTTTAGGACGTATGGCGGCAGTCGTCTAGTTAGTAAATAGCCTGTAGGGCGGCCGGCTTGATGAGTGTAAATAGCCTATCACAGTAAATAGTTCATCTCTAAAAGCTGCATCGGTGGAAACTGCTTTTGTGAGTTGGTTCTAGAATAGATTTTCTTGTTCCATTCGAACTGGCCGTCGGTGCACGGGACTGTACGGAACACACAATCTCGCCTTGCGACGCGTGGCACAGTGATGACGGATGATCTGCATCCACTCCTGCCATAACGACAGCTTCGAGACAATCATCCGTTGATCCGTGCTCCGTGAATACGAAAGCAGATGAGACAAGCGCCAATCGTCTGGCATGGGGGCTCCGTTACCCCAGACTTACCCCGGACTGCCCCGGATGCAGGCGAGCTGTGGGGATGCGCAGCCCCTCACGCCGTCCCATGGATCTCGCCCGCTATAAGCAATTCGCTTCCCCAGCAGCCCTCGTATCTCGCACACTCGTGACCTTTGCGTTGACTCCTGAGGGAACTCTGGTCCGGTAGTCGTTCGAGCAGGGTCTGCATACGAATGTTCATGACACGGGAATTTCATCCGGTTCACCACGATCTCGCGAGTTACGCTGAGTGAAGAACACACTGTGTCAAACATCTTGCCAACCCACAGGCATGGGAGTAACCCGCCGTCTGCAGCATCGCAGCTGCGACCCGTGTCGAAAGGGCAAACGCGCGTGCGATGCCACCGTCCGCAAAGAGCTCTGCGGCGCCAGAAACACCAGCCCCGGCAGCCATCACCACCACCCCGCGATCAACGTCTCGACTGTCGAGCCGTGCTCCAACTGCAAGAGATGGCGGAGGCAATGCACCTTCAACTGGCTGCTGTCGGTTCAGAACAGGGGCAGCACCAAGCAATGCAGGAAGAAGACCAAATCTGCTATGGAACAAGACTGCGAGACTGCCACAGTCGGCAGCAGCAGTAGCAGCAGCGTGAACCACCCATTGCTGAATTCGAATCCGCTCTTCTCGCAGCCACAGATGGATGGCAGTCTCAATGGCTTGTCCCTGTCATCTCAGAACAACAATGACCCGTTTTCATCAATGTCGACATGGGATCCGCTTGTCTTCTCAGATCTCTCAGACGGCACGCGGCTGGGCTTGAACAGCGCTGAGAATGCCACCTGGCACGGTGAGCCACGGCTGGTCCCTCCTCCTCCTGATTACAACGAGGACCTCTACACGACGGGCTTGATGATGGACGATGCAGAGGATTGGTTTCAGTACCTAGACAGCCATGGCACAACGTCGGACTCCAAACTGGATGTCGTGAATACTCCTGTGAGCCCGTTCAGCGCTCCCCAGGTGAATGGGTACGGTTGTGACTGGACGAATATCGCTTCGTGCATGGGCAGACCAAACGTCAGCAGCTTTCTGCCTCGCAATTCTGATCGAGACCATTCTCCCAACAACAAGAAGGATCCCTACTCGCCGCCCAGAACGGACACGCAGCTGTCACTATCCTCCCAGAGAATCGTCGACGAATTCTTCCGCTCCGAAACAGCGCGCAATCTCCTTCGCGTCTACCACGACAGCATCGAAAACGCGCTGACCTGCTGGTTGACGGAGCGGAACTGCCCCTACAGTCGCAACCACAAGCAACGCTCACCCTCCCGGTCGAGGATTTCCATCTCCATCGACGGCGAATGGGGTCCGCAGTGGTCGAATCGCATCTGCGCGCGCGTCTGCCGGCTGGACCGCGCGTATGCAGCAGTGCGTGGACGGAGCCTGACGATGAACGAAGAGCGGATGGCGTCGCGGGCTCTGCACGCTGCTATCATGGCGTTTGCGTCGCAGTGGTCTCCTGAGAGCGTTGCGAAGCTGGACATGCATGTCCGCGGAAAAAGCGAGGCTATGCCCTCCCCTCTTGGCAAGGATCTCGAGCGCTCTGTCCCGGAACGGCTGTGGAACGAAGCCTCTTATGTCCTTAACGAGGCTGCCCACACCGAGTCATTCCGGGTTATATTCGCGCATATGATTTTCTCCCTCACACAACGCCCGCTGAATGGCAGCGGAGATGCTTCCGGCCTGGAGTCTCCACAGAGAGATAATCAGGCGCCAGGACTCGTCGAACTGCACCGCCTTTTCGACAGCGACCGCGCTCCGCTATTCCTCGAAACTGCCGTCCGGCAGATGTTCTCCTGCCGGCACAAGCTGACCCGGTTCCAGCGTGAATGCAAGACGGGATCTCTGTCCGCAGAGGACCACGAGACAGTCAACCTTCTGTTCTGGCTGGGAGTGATGTTCGACACCCTCACCGCAGCCATGTACCAGCGTCCTCTTGTCGTCTCAGACGAGGACAGCGAGATCAACTGCTCAGTGACTCAAAGCCAACAGGTCCAGACAGACGTCAAAGCGGACAACCACATCGATCTCGACGGATGGGATTTCGCAACATCACCCAATGCAAGAAAAAGAAACGTCCGACGGGTCTGGGGAGACTTGTTCCTTCAGCAGGGTGCAGCTGGTGAAATGCCAGAGAACAGCATCCCACGCTGGCCCTGCGCGTACGAAGCAGCGGCAGAAACACTATCAGACGCCGCGCCCGTCAAAGTGCTGCTCTTCCGCCGTGTGACCCGGCTGCAGACGCTCGTCTACCGCGGAGCGGAGCCCGAGCAGCTGGAAGAAGCGATTCAGGACACATTCAGAATCTACGATTACTGGAATCGCACCTATGGGGTGTTCATGCAGGATTGCGTCGCCCACCACGACAGCCTCCCGCCTCGTATCCAGTCGTGGTACGTCCTTCTGGCCGGACACTGGCATCTCGCCGCCATCCTGCTGGCAGACACGGTGGAAAGCATCGACAAGGGCCGGATGGGCCTGGACTCGCAGCGCGAGTCACGTCTAGCGACCAACCTAGTCGCGAATCTGAAGACGGAGAACGCCGTCGCCATCTCCCGTCTGGCGCAGAGCTCGTTGCGCAGTGGCTCCAAGAGCGCGACGACGACGACGACGACGACGCGCGAATTCCAATTCCAATTCCACGACGCGGTGATGAACGACGGCGGAGCGGTCCTCACGGAGCCGTGGACGGCCGTGCTGATCCGCTCATTCGCCCGGGCGGGATACATCCTGCTAGACCGGGTGAGAGCAATGAACGACGCGTTCGACGAGGAAGCTCGACAGCAGTGCGCATTCTGTATCGAGGCGCTGTGGAGTCTGGGGAAGAAGTCGGATATGGCGTCTGTGGCTGCGCGGTCGTTGTCGAGCAGTCTCGACGAGGCGATTCGGTTGCATTGCCAGAATAGGCTTTTTGTGTGACAGCAACAGTGACAGCTGTGTGAAGTACCTCATGCATGTATTTATGTATTTATGTATGTATGTACAATACATGAGATTGTCTGACGAGGTAGTTCGTGCTTATGTGGGAGGTATTCTGATTTTTTCCTCTTTTCTTTTTCTCGACCTATTCTACTGTGCACTTTGATAGCTTCGGATCGAAATCTAAGGAAGGACAATGGAGGTCATGGACAGTGTCTTCAACATCTGCGTAGGGGCGTCTATACATTATGCTATTGCCACTAACCCTTTCGTCCCTTCAAGCCTGCTACGCCACAGAGCTATAATGGCTGCTTTTATTATTCGCCATTCCCAGATCAGCGTACTCCAGCGAGCTAGTTAAGTATCGGCCAGAAACCGGCTCTTAGCCAGCTGCCTATTCCTTAGTCAATTAGTTCCCCTTTAACGGGTCACTTTCCTTTTGAATAGGGGTATCTCACCTCGATTATACACATAGAAAGACCAAAGTTATCACTCATTGAAATAGGTCAGTTGTTTTCCGTCCAACGTCAACCTATTTATTGGCATGGTGAGCAGCAGAAATCCTCGACTCCGTCAATCATCACGATGGCCTCCGTCTCAACCGGACAAAACTGTCCATCCGATATCTCCCAGCAGAAGGACAGTTCTAGCCAGCATGAGCACGCAGCCCATACCTCTTTCCTGGCAAAACCCTCGCATGACAACCGGGTTGTCAAACGTCAGCGACGCGGTCGACCCAAGAAGGTCAACCAAGAAACAATCAATCGAATGGTGCAGATACTAGAAGAATCCCGCCACAGTTTGTCATTGTCATGGGAGCAACTAGGCGCTGCCGTCGGTATTACTGGTGTCCATCTTCAAACCGTCCGCAATCAGTTGATCAACGAGGGCTACTGCAAGAGCGTTTCCTGTCAGAGAAAGTGGCTCACGCAGGAGACGATGGACGCGCGAGTTGCTTTCGCGATTGCTCATCAGAACTGGCCGTGGCGGTCTGTCCTCTTCAGCAGTCTTGTCTCGTTCAGTCTTGGACCAAGTCCAAGCCGCAAAGCAAAAGTGGCGATCAACGACCGGCAACAAGAAAGACTGTGCAAAGAGTGCCATCGAAACAGAACCAAGCAGAGGGGGCAAGAACGGCATGCGATTCATTGCTGGGCGATCGTCGGTTTCGATCATAAGAGCCCTCTTACCTTTTTCTCCTCGGTGGGGGATAATATTCCTCTTTGCGAGATGGTTACATGCAGAAAGCACAATAACCAAGCGCAGCAGCAGCCTCAGATGCAGTCAATTTGTAGCTCCGAGAAGCAATTCCTTCTCGTGGACGAGGCAAACGAATCCAATTTTAGGCACAATAACGACCACCTCTTACAGATTCATGGCGAAAGCAAACCGCTCTCCCGCATCGTCACCCCTCCCTGTTCACCCGATCTGAACATCGCGCATGATGTACTGCTCTTCCTCAAGAAGATGGTTCAGAAAAGGGCCTTGTTTCGGGACGAGAAGGACCTTGAAGCAGGGGTATTGGAGGAGTGGGGCAAGGTCTCGGTCAAGGAGATCAATAAGCTGGTGGATTCGATGCCAAGGAGGGTTGATGATGTGATTCGGATGAAGGGGAAGCCTGTCTAGGAGTTACCACGCTATAGTACAGTACATATTTCTAGTATGGATTTTATATCGAAGCTGTGGCGTATAGCTGTTGGTCCTCGTCTGTCATCGTAGATAGGTGTTCTCTGAATAGGAATAGATATATTTCTCTCTAGAAAAGTGTCATCCATGAGTAGAGCTCTGGTCTTACGGTTTCATTTAGTGAACAGGACTGGGGACGCCAGGAGTACTCAATTAGAGAGTTGGCTTAGTAGAATGGTATTTCTCTCTATCCCAGGGAATCAAGAGTCCGTCTCTGCTGCAGGCAGCTCCATCAGCTAAACCTTTCTTCTTTCTCACCTGCAGGAGTTTGTAATAAATGGCTTATAAATATTAACACAATTAATTGTGCCTTTACTCGTCCTCGTCCAACTATCCATCTCAGAAGAGTGCCAACAAGATGCAAGCTTACAAAAGATAAAAATGACACTGCACTTTTAGTAAATGATTAATTAATCATAACCCACTGACCAGGTTGCTTTCCTCGTTGATAGGTATATGGAGTGAATGAGGACATCTAGGCCCTAGTCAGCAGGATGCAAACAAGGTGTACACTGGGAAGATAGTAGTAGACTATGAATGATAAAAATAAGGAGTCAGGTATGTACTGTATATTGGCAGGTCATATTAGGTCAGAATTGATATCCTACGGTAGGCATAGTGCCCAAGGTGTTCACTAGAGTTTCATAAGATGCCCTGGATACCCAACAACTCCTTATGAATAAAACAGAGCTTTTAGGCTAAAACATCTGTCCACTTTCTCTGGACCCCATATACGAAATTAGGCTGCAAATTTGTGTTGGAGAGACTATGTTGAGCTTATTCATCTTGCATTTCAGCTCAAACCAACCTCATCGCGCTCCCCCATTCCTCCGCCAGCCGGTGCAGCGCGTCGATCTCTGCCCGCGTAAATGGTATTCCATCACGCTCACGCTTCTGCCGTTCCGCCTCCTCGATCTCGCCGGGCGTGTAGATCCGGTCGACGCCCGCAGCGGGCTGGCTAGAGCGGACTGCCGAAAACAGCGTATCCATCCTTTCGCGATACTCGTCCCGCGAGTCGAGGAACAGATCCGGCTTGAAGACCAGAAACCATTGGCCCACGCCCTGCGGCTGGTCGACCTCCTTGTACTGGTCGTGCACGCCGCCTGCGAACGACGCCCCCGTGATGAGCCCGCCGAAGATGTCCATCATCATCGCCAGCCCGGAGCCCTTAGGGCCCCCGATCGGTAGGACGACGCCTTCGAGAGCCCGGTTGGGGTCTGTCGTTCTCTGGCCGTCGGCGTCGAGAGCTCAGTCGTCAGGGATGGATTCCCCGCGGCGGGCTGCTTTGCGGATTTTGCCCTAGAAGAAAGGATGTTGTCACAGTCTCAACTAGGAAGTGCACACGAACGGAAATGTACAGATACAGAACTTGCAGGTGTCATGACTATGTGTCTGTATTATTGACATACGTACCCTCGCAACAGCCGCCGGCGACATATCGAGAACAAAATGACCCTTGGAACCCCCCGGCAAGCCCACAGCAAACGGACTGGTCCCCAGCAACGGCTCGCGCGATCCCCAGGCGGGCATACTGCGCGAAGCATTGGTGAACGCCATCGCTCCGTAGCCTCGATCGCCTGCAGGAGATACGTGGCCGCCATGCCGTAGTGCCCGCTGTTCTTGACGGCGACGATACCCACGCCGAACGTCGCTGCCATCTCCAGCGCGCGCTCGACCGCCGCATGGGCGGCGAGGAAGCCGAACGTGTGCTGCGCGTCCAGCAACGCGCAGACAGGACTGCGCTGCTCGAACCGCAGCTCTGGCGAGGGATTCAACGCCCCTGAGCGAATCCGCGCCAGATACCCCGGCAGCCGGTTCAGGCCGTGCGTGTCGACGCCGCGCAGGTCGGCGAGCACCAGGGCGTCGGCGACGATCTGGGCGTGGTTCTGCGACAGGCTGCCGTGGACGAGGACGTCGGTGCCGAAGCGACGGGCAGTGGCGGCGGGGATCAGAACTGTTTCTGGCATGATTAGTTGATTGATGTGATAGACAGGGTGGATTAATTAGAGGTGAGGTAGGTAGGGGACGGTGGAAGAAAGATAGATGACTGAAAGAGAAACAGAAACAAAGAAAAAGAAATAGAGAAATAAATTGACCACAATAAACAGTATTGAAGGTCGGTTAAAAATCCGACTATTAGTACACCCAGTAGGCCATGCTAAATGGGCAAAATGCTGGGGGTGTTAATTATTTACCCCCGCGGAGATTTTCCGAGAGAGATCAGATCAATAATCCCCCGCCAATAGATATATTTATCTGTTTATTTTCTGATAGATTGCCGCTCTGTTGAACGAGGCACGGTACTATAGATATATTTTTAATGGTTAATGTAACTGTTAAAGAGTCATTGGCGACAAGGAATATAATAACCTCACAGGTTTATATGACGGACTTTCTTCCGGCCGTAGAATACGCATCTTGTGCATCGCCATGGAAGAATATACTATACAACCCTTTTTTATTTTTCAATGAAATACAGTGAAGAACCACAATCCTGACACAACTGGTACAATAATATAGCAAAAGCTACCTTCTGCAGATGAATAGGCTGAGAAATAGAAAGGAAGGTCCAAGTCTTCCTCCTGGAATCGATATGTCGTCGCTGAAGAAAGGATTATAGGACAGAAAAGTAGTTCTTCTAGATGATATTCAAGCAGAATATATGATGGATCAATGGGTATACAATAGCAGGCTGAGTTAGCCTATCCAGGGCTTAGGGCTAGGTCACAGGTCAGGGTTGGCTACACCTTCGCATGGCTGCCTAATATCTACCTCCTTCTAGATGCCTCGTTCTATATTGCAAGCTGATATAATAGTCCGTGATAGTTGGCGAGATCACGAAGCACTTTCCATGGCAATACTTCTTCTCTTGTTATCACATATCTCGCTATCTACGAAACGGTCAATCAATACTTTTTTGTATACGACAGATGCTACCACGTCAATCATGAAATCATTCCAGTTGACCAAACGATACTGTTGCAAACTCCTCGAGAAATCAATGTTATGACCTTTTTTGTGCGTGTCTGTGTGTGTGTGTGTGTTTGTTTGTGTGTGTGTGTGTGTTATCAGGCTTACAGCAGGCAGCATTATATGTGACTAGTACTCGCTCTTCCTCGTCCTCTGAGCCAGCCACAAGTAGTACACCCCGATTTCATGATCGGGTACTTCATCGGGTTGTCTTCCTCCAGCTTCTTGGTGCGGTCGAAGCCGATGAAGAAGGCAATCGGAGATGTCTGCGTTGTAGTTAAGATGGTGGCTACTTGATGTTGACGCTTATCTGATCTCCTCTGTTTGATATGTAATTACAGTTCTACAGATGTGCCCAATGCAGATGTCCAGGATTAACAATACATTGCTAAAGGATTGATGTCAACAATAATACAGGGTAAATAATAATGGGGATTGGATACGATAGAAAAAGCAGAATACCAAGTCAAATATAAGACGATAAACTGATAAGGCTTGGCCAATTGGGATCAGTCCAGCAGCAACTGCAATTTCTGCTCAATAATACACATGGATGAGCAGGTGAAATAGAACTGAAATGACTTTTTTCTTGTTCTAATTGATGCATCAGGGTCAAAATGATGCAAGATAAGCCGTATCAAGATCGGTTTCCTAAAGCGGCAATGCAAGTGGCTGTCAATTTAGTCTGTTGATCACCCGCGATGGCTTCGCCTGCTAAACCAGGAAGGGCAGTTGACAGGAATAATCGACTGAATTATCGACTGAATTGATGCTTGTCTCGTGCTCTCATGACGCCAGCACTGAGATATTGCAGTAATGCATTCATCTACATGCCGGAAGCAGCAACTGTCGTGCCTGCGCTGCCAACGCTCACTGGCAGAGAGTGCCGGCAATACGTCACGCGGCATCATCGCCCTCAAGTCCCTTGGATGCCGACATCCTTTGTCCCCCGCCTCGCGCATTTCCTCCTCTTCCACCCTTGACGTCAGTTCATGACTGATTTTACAGCTTCATCTGAGTAACGACAGAGTACATCGCCCACGATGAGATTCCGCTGGGCCTCTGGCCTGCTGGTTGCGCTGGCTGCCTCGGAGGCGCTTGCGGCGAGCAACTGGTTCAGCAAAGCAGGTTGTCTTCCTGTCGCCAGACTGCGTTTGGAGAGAGAGCAATGCTGATGCGAAAGTAGTATACAACAAATGGCATGAGACAGAGCTGGAACGATGGCTCTCTGATCACGGTAAGCTGTTCGTCCCAAGAGCGCGATGACATGCTAATTCTACAGACATCCCATATCCCACGCCCGCCGATCGCAAAGAGCTCGAGAACATCGTCAAGGCCAACTGGGAGTCCAAGGTCCAGATCCCGCTCGCCCACGCGTCCGAGCAGGCGTCGGAACACCTCGGCAATGTGAAGGACTGGATTTTCGACAGGTGGGCACGCGCTGCTGATCAGGACCAGCAATGCTAACCGCTGTCATCTCAGCTGGTCCGACTCCCACCTCAAGGCCTTCCTCGACCGACATGGCATCCCGAACCCCTCACCACGCAAGCGCGAGACCCTGCTGCAGGCAGCCCGCGAGAACTACGAGGCCATCGCGAAGAAACTCGGCGAGACGGCCGCCTACCCGGGCAACTGGCTCTACGAGCAGTGGTCTGACTCGGATTTAAAGGAGTGGCTCGACGAGCGCGGATGGCCCATCCCCCAGCCGACGACTCGCGACCGACTGATTGCGGCGGTACGACGCCAGGCCCGTCTCGCCAGCATCGCGGCGAAGAACGCTGCCTCGTCGGCATCTGCCTCGGCTGCAGCGGCCCAGGCAACCCTGAGCGACGCCCTCTTCAACGCGTGGTCGGACTCGGAGCTCAAGCGGTTCCTCGACGAACACAACATCAAGGTGCCGCAAGGCTCCAGACGGAACGAGCTCATCGCGCTGGCCCGCAAGCACCGGGCGAAACTGCTCAGCGACGCGTCGACGGCGACGAACATTCTCGGCGCTGCGACCTCGAAGGCTGGCAATGAATGGGCTCGCGCAACGGAGGACGCCAAGCTGAAGGCCGAGGACGCATTCGACAAGGCCGTCCAGGCGTGGTCGGATTCACGATTGAAGGCATACCTCGATGCGAGAGGCATTCCCGTTCCTCAAAGCTCGAAGCGGGATGAGCTGCTGGCCAAGGTCAGACTGTACAAGCACAAGGCTGCAACAGGGAACACGGCCTGGACATTTGACACCTGGAGTACGGAGAACCTGAAGTAGGTACCCAATCCAGAGTCTTCTGTCGATACTGTACTGACATGTCCCCTAGGAAATACCTGTCTTCGCTGAACCACAAAGCCGCAGACCGCGCGGGCGCCACGCGCGACGAGCTAGTCAAGCAAGCGCAGGACGCATATACCAGGGCATCCAAAGCCGGCGGCGCGAGCTACGCGACCGTGACCTCGTACCTGGCCAAAGCGACCGAGGCCGCGAGGGACACGACCTTCGAGAGCTGGTCCGAGTCGGAGCTGAAGAAGTATCTGGATTCGTACGGCATCCCGACATACCAGGGCTCGAACATCAACGGGCTCCGGGCCGCCGCGCGGCGGAACGCGCAGTACTTCTACTACGGGACGACGACGCCGCAGGGGACGATCCTGGCGCGGCTGAGGGAGAGCGGGCAGTGGCTGCTTGACCAGCTGCGGCTGGGGGCGTCGAGCGGGCGTGCCAGACAAGAGACCACCGGCACGAGTAAGATCAAAGAGAAAGTGGCTCAAGCGGCGGCGAAGATCCGTCAGGATCTGTAATCGCCTCGTCAACTTCTTCAAGTGGTTGTGGTCTACTACTGCTACGACAGTTTCGCATTCGGTAAAGATCTTTTCTCATCGTTATATTTACATGAAGGAAATGAAGGAATAAATTGATGGAAAGAAACGGAGTTGAAAGGGGAAATAACAGGGAAAAAAAAACAAAAAAAAAGAAGAGAGAAAGAAGAAAAAAGAAATGGATACATGAACGAATCAATGAAAAGAAAGGACAGGATTGAAATGAAATGAAATGAAATAGTGTAGAAAAGAAAATGAAGGAAGCAAGCAGTATGTGTATGTACAGTATTTCAGCATTCGACAGAGTCAATTCAGTTCAATTCAACTCAATTCAATTGTGTAGGTTTATTTATTATTTCATTTCATTGAATGAAGTAGCTAGCTAGCTGTCTGTCATTCATTCATTTCATTCATTTCATTCCATTTCGAGATAACTCAGTCAACTAGACAAACTCAAACGTGTTGCACCGGCTTATATATTTCTGTTCGTATTCGTAATGAGTATAATGGGAATCCTCCGTGCTAGGTAGGACACACTAGCAGTCACGTCATGTCCACGAAGTAGTTAGGTCACGTTTTATACCGTATAGTCGAATATTCCCGGGCGAAGTTCACGACTTCGGCGCCTCCGGGTCACCCTCCGCCACCAACTTCCCTACCACAAGATATTTCTCCAGGAACCGTTCTTCCCATGCCTTCAGGTTGTCCCACTGCTCTGGGGTCAGGTCACTCAGGTCGTCCAGCGGCCCTTTCAGGTCCTTGGTGAGCATCTCTTCGTCGAAGCTCTGGCAGGCCAGACCGCGGGAGGCGTCGCGGCCGGCGAAGTTGGCGTATGGTCCGCCCTGTTTCGATTTGATTAGCCTCATAAACGACTGGAACAGGAGATCGGCTCGTCCATACCGGTCCGTAAAAGTGCTTTCCAGGCGTCACATCAAACACGCGACCCCGCACGGCGAGGTAGACCGGCGCACCGCCCTCGCCGTTGAAGGGCAGCAGGGTGGACGGGGTGAAGGTGCGGAAGACGACGGGAGCGGGTTTCTGGGGCAATTCCACGGGCCGCTTGGGTCGGAAGAACTGGTAGTAGACCAGCACAAGGAAGAGAGAGAGCAGGATCAGGTTGATGGGCGAGGCGATGGACATCCTGGGTAGCCAGGGTTAGTTGGAGGAAATGGTCACCGACAGTATTGATAGATATCAGGTCGGTAGGTAGGTGATCGAATACTCACACCTCGGCGGATTGGGGAACGGCGTCCTCTGATAACCGTCATCAGTCGTCAGCAAGGACAGAGTGTTTTGAGAAGAATATTCCGCACGACATACCTGTCTCCATGGTGTGCAGTGCCAGTGTCGATGAACGAGTGTTATTCTCGTGGTCTGTCTCCGGAAAATGATAATATGGTGATTGCGATCATCCTGCGGAGCGCTCGGCTTTCTCCACCCGTCGGAATCGAAGCACGGGATCTCCGCACGTGATTGCGGCGGCTGGGCCCTGGGGGCGGAATTTCCGCCCTCGGCCAATCAGGATCCGCGTCCACAGGCGATCGTGTGAGAGGATTGATGCCGCGCTGGGAATATTGTTTTTCCTTGCAGGATAGAGTGTAATAATAGTGCTGGACGTGCTCGATGGGTTGCGAGGACGGAATTCCAGAGTTTATTTGGAATTACTTCTCTGCGTTGACTCCAGGCATCCGTCTATACCCGCAGCCCGTCTTGCTTGTAGGAATTCAAAAGAGGGAGAATCTGTCGACTTGATTGTCAATGAGAGAACCATAAATATATCCCTATATCCATCTATCCACCAGGACTCGTATTCGTATACTCAGTACGGAGTAGCAGGATGGATTGCCTCTGCAAGTGTGGAGCCATGACGTTAGTACGTCTTCTAGAAGGGGTCTGGAACAGACGACCGATCCGCTGCACATTACAGTATACACACATCCTAATTCAATGCCTGCTGGAAAAGTAAGAGAAAATAAAAGGGCTGACGACATCCATCGATGCTGCTGTGAAGAACTGCTAATAAGTTAAGGACACGTAGGTGAAGACGTGCAGGATCATTCTGATCTGACATAAGTAAGAAGCAGGCCGTTGCGCCAGGGCCCAGGGTCCAGGAACTGCCGATCGGGCCAAAGACTATTCTTGGAACTCTTGGTGAAGAGCCACCTTTCTGAAACGTCATTTAAGATTAACTTATGCCCGGCCCATGGGCGGCCTGTGTAACTGCTCATTCTACTCATCTCCCCGCGCGCACTTTCACTGTCCTCAGTTAGGTAGAGAGTGCGCCTGTTTAAGTCCCTCCTTTGGCTCTCCTTCAGTGTCAGTTTTCCTTGCTGTTGACACCTGCCCGCCCAGCCGCAGCTGCAACGCGTGGATCGGCGCGAACAGGTGTTCCCCCACCCACCATCCTCAACTCCTGCAGCCCTCTGGGACTCCTGTTTTCTTTCTCTCATCTCCTCGAAGACAGTAAGGGACCAGCGATATTTCACATACTGTTGCATATCCAAAAAAAACCCCCCACGCATACTGACACGTCTACGGCAGAACAGTCATACGAGAACATCCAGCCAAAATGTGGAAGAAAGTGCAGATGAACCGCTTGCGAGAGTCCAAGATGGGCGCTCCTATCGTTGTTGACACCAATGTCGACCAGGCTGTTCTTCAGTCCATTTCAGGCAATCCGGTCGCAAGGGGCTTGAATGCCGGTTACAAGGGTGTTTCAAAGGATCTGCCAGCTCTGCCACCGTGAGTACCATTTACCGCAATCCAAGGAATTCGGCTCATTCCTGTCATCTACGTATAGTGAGGCGACAGATCCAAACGCCGACCCGCACCCGGGGCGTCGCATCCCTTCGTCCATCTACTCTCGCGATGTCTCCGATTTCAACGCCTACATGCAGGAAAACACGGTGACTCGCCCCAATGCAGGTTATTCCGGCTATGCGCCTGCCGGAGACCACCCGGACATTTCTCCTCCAGACTCCCCCATTGAGTACGACGGGTCCCGTCGGCCCGAAAGCCCAGATATCTCTCCCATCAGCGATACGCCCGAGCAGACGTTCCCTTTGGTCAAAAAGCAGACCAGATTCGACAGCAAACTGCCCGTCTTACGCAAGGACACTCAACCCCAACAACCGTCGGCAGGTCAGCATTCGGAAAGGACAAAATGGGATGACATGTCAGGAGAACCAACTACCAGCGACTCGGGGAAGACAGGACAGGTGGCTCCCAGCGACAGCCCATACCAACGGCACGTTGAGTCTAGGACGTCGGGCAAGCAGGGCTCTACCCTCCTAGGCTCCGGGAAAGAAAAAATCCAGGCCGGGAAGATATTCTTGAAAGCCCGCGATCATGCCAGCAAAGACAAGAAGGATCAGAAACCAGCTGCTCGTGAGCCGTGGAAGGGCCCCAGTGGCCGTTCTCCCCTTGTCAATCCCATCGAAAGCAAACCGGCCTCGCAAGCCAGGATGTTTAACAGGTCGCCATCGCCCGCTGACAGTTTGAACTTTGCAACTCTGCATGGATATACGATAACCACGGTTACCGCGGGTAATAGCAATAATAGCCATGCAGACAAAAAGCGAACAGAAGACAAGAAGCGAACGGAAGAGAAAAAGCGAGCAGAGGATAAAAAGCGGGCGGAGGATAAAAAGAACACCAAGACCTCGCAGTCCTCTGCAGCCCAGTTGTCTTCACAAAAAGCTACTGTCAACTTGAGTCAAGCCGGGACGTCAGCGGGGAGCAATGCGCAGACTGGTCAAACTCCAGAGTCTCGTGGCAACGAGAACACGTCACTGCGAGTCGATCCTGCGGAGTCTAGTTTGGCCTCCATATTTCAGGACTTGAATATCTCCAATGAGCCTGGAAGCCGATTCAGCGCGACAACATGTACGACTACGGAAGCCAGTACCTCTCGATCTGAGAGTCCTCAAGTTGAGCCCAAAACCGACCCTCCGCCCGCGCCCGCCCCTCAGGAATCGATCATCAATAGAAAACGACCGATTCCCAAGGCCGGAGTCTCGGCAAAGAGCACCACTCGCAAGCCGACCCCGTCTGCCGCCGCTAATTCTGACGCGGAGAAATCCAAGTCGGTGCCAGAGGGCCCTCCGGAAGTCCAGGTGCAGAATCGGATCGATTCACTCGAAGCGAGGCGCAAGGAGCTTGCCGTTCGCAAAGCCAACATCAACACCATCATCTACGAGCTGACGCAGGTCATCCAGCCCAGCTCGATCGCTTACGACATGGCGACGCGGGACGAGGTCAAGCGGACGGTCGCCAGTCTGAACAACGAGCTGGACGACATCAAAAAGGAGGAGCACGACATTGGCTTGAAGTTGATCCGAGCGTGGAAGAAACGCGACGAGCTGGAGGCCTACGATGCGTCGTCGAGTTTGTGGGTCAAGCGCGTCACGAGCTGAATTGCTGCAACATACACACGTTTGGAACTTTTTTTTTTCTTCTAACACCTGCAATTGGTTCTGTTGCTATCTAATTGTGTTTCTTTGTACATACTTTTTTTTTTATTTTCTCCCAGTGGGATTTGTATGATTGGTTCTATCAGTTGCTTTCCTTGCACAGGTTGTATTGCATGTAATTCCCTTTTTTTTTCTCGACTGGTCACTACATGGCGTTTGGAGAAGTGACGATACCCTGAGAAATTGGCCAAATCGCATTGTATGTACTTGAATTGCTTTCCAAATATCGACAAACGCTCATTTATCCATTCCATTCAAGGAGGTATTGTAAGCGTGTGTGGTGTAAGCCATAATCCACTGACTCTTCACGCCTCACGCCTTAACATGGTTCTCGTTGCGCATAACTCGTTCAATCATAAGTCGTTGTCTCTGGCTGTCAGAGACTGAAAGCCAGTCGCACTGAAAGCCGGTCACTGGTTGCAAACCACAGCTGAGCGGACAGAGTAATTATTTCTTGCCCGACTTCTTGATACCCTGCTGGCCAGTGTTCAAGGGGCCCCTGCTCTTCGCTTTCTCTGCCAACTCCTTTCTGGCCTTGGCCTCTGCATAGCGCCTCCACGCGTTAGCCCAACTGCAGATCAACCGGCAGATCCATGACACAAGCGCAACACTAACCGGCCTTCTGCTTCTCTCGGAACGCAATGTCCTCCTCATCGAGTTCCTTCTTCTCCTTCTTGGGGGCCTTGAGGGGCTTGGCCTTGCCCCCTGTTCGCAAAAATTGTGAGCAGGACCGTATTCGACGTTGCGTTGCAGCGAGACTGACCTTCTCTCGAGATACCACCCATGTTGAGACGCGCGCGCGGAGATCCCTTGGGTTGCGACCAGCAGGACTGCCTCGAGATTCGCCAGGAGCAGAAAAAAACTGGAGCAGTCGAATTTAATTACTCACCCAGCGGGCGCTTATCAGCAGTGGAGGGGAACGCCGGTCGCTGGCCAACAGGGCTTGGCGCAAAATCTTTAATCCGACTCCGGCTCGACGTAACAGCCGCGGGACCGCGTTGCGCTCTCTCTCTTGCTCTTACTCATACTCAGGCTCATCGTCACCGTGCAGGACTACCGTCTGCCAGCGTGGTGAATACCTAACGTCGTTGGGTGGATTGTGTGTTTCTTTGAGTGCAAGACAGTCACGCATCTCACATGAATAGGTGACGTCGCAGACGAGGAGCAAGGCAGACATCTCTAGCCGGTTGGATTTTCTCAATTTCACCCAGCCCTTGTCTTCGTGCAATACATCGCTAACCGAGCATATTTGACCGTTGAAGCTCCAAGCTCCTGTTCAGGGATCTTGGATCGGGGTCTGCCTTGTCAAGGTGTGATATCCAGGCGGTAAGCCACGACCATGGCTTCACGCAGGTCGGGATCGCCGTCGACCCCCTCTGAGGGTGAGATCATCGAATCAGGTTCAGAGACGAAGGCAACTACGTCGCAGACTTCTGTTAATGGCACCACTGTTGACCGTCGCACCAGAACTAGCCCTTCGTTTTCTCCTAGATCTCCCGCCTCGGTGACGAGATCGCCACGCCCACGCCGGTCCAGGTCCAGGTCCAGGTCCAGATCCAGGTCCAGGCCGCGGTCGCGGTCTCGCTCTCCCTACCGAGACTATCGAGGAGAGAAGCGTCGACGCGAAGATGACTACTACGACGACAGACGCTTTCGGCACGGCTCGCGCCGCTATGGGTCGAGGTACGATGACAGACGCTACGATCGCGGCTATCCGCCGCCGCGGCGCCACAGAGGCTACCATGACTACGACCGAGACGATGGGTACGGTGGGGGGCTTCGATACAGTGACGACTACGACAGACGCCGTGACAAGCGGGCGAGGACGCGCAGCCGTTCTCCGTACCGGGACGTCAGAAAGCCCAAACAGTATGACACCGACGAATTGGATACTACCAGGCACAAGGAGTCGGTTGCAGACAGGAGGACTTCTACTGAACAGTCAGTGAGCGAACGGGGCAAAACCCCAGTCGTCGCTCAAGATGTGAAACCAGAGGCTGAAACTCGAGAGCATCAGGTGCAGCAGGAACCTAGCAAAGACGATTCTCGTCCAGTAGCTGAGTAAGTTTGTCCCGTAGTGAATTTGCTGTTTTTGGCATTCTGCTAATAGTATCTGTCCAGGCCGGAAGTTTCGGGCAAAGACGCTGCTCCCGAAGAACCAGAGCCCGCTGAGCCGATGGACGAGGCTGCCCGACTGGAAGCGCGACGAAAACGACGCGAGGCTATCAAAGCTAAGTACCGAGGCCAGGCAACACCTATGCACTTACAAGCCTTACACGTTGGAGCTGAGACAGAATCTACCACGCCTAGTGTTGACACTTCTCGCGATGGCGCCTCAGGTGAGTCCCGCTTTACCTTGCTCTCGTGTGTTGCCGGCTGACGTGGAGTTTTAGCGTCGATGTCTCCTCCAGCTCAAGGACCGCCAAACGAAGACGCTGCGCCACTCCCTGAGTTTAAAGTCACGAAAGATGATGATCTTGCTAATACTGGTGTTGAGCCGATGGACGGTGTCGAGAAGGATGAGCCGTCCGCGGCGGACTACGATCCCACTCAAGACATGCGAGAAGACAGGGAGAGGCATGACAAGAGACATTTCGGCGGTGATGTATCTGCCGCGGAGTATGATGAAACGAAGCAGGCGAAGCAAGACGTTCTCGTACCTGATTCTGCTGAACAAAAGCAGCATGCACAGGCGCCCGCCAAGGATTATGACATGTTTGCCGAAGACGACGACATGTTCGCCGAGGAGCTTCCGGAGCCGGCACCGCGCGGCGGGCCGACCAAAGGCGCAGAACTCGACATGAGCATGATGGACAATTGGGATGACCCAGAGGGTTACTACAATGTGATGCTGGGTGAGTTGATCAACGGGCGGTACCATGTGCAGCAGAATCTGGGCAAAGGGATGTTCTCGTCCGTGGTGCGCGCGACAGATTCCAAGACGGGAAAACTCGTGGCAGTCAAGATCATCCGTCGCAACGATACGATGAGAAAGGCGGGTATGAAGGAGATTGAAATTCTCCAGCAGCTCGCGGCCGCCGATCCGGATGACAAGAAGCATGTCATCCGATTCGAGAGGTACTTTGAGCACAAGGGACACCTCTGCATGGTCTTTGAGAACCTCAGCATGAACCTCCGTGAGGTGTTGAAGAAGTTTGGGCGCGACATCGGCCTTAATTTGCGGGCGATCCGTGCCTATGCGCAGCAGATGTTCCTCGGGTTGAGCCTCCTCCGCAAGTGCAACATCCTGCACGCGGACTTGAAGCCGGATAACCTGCTGGTGAATGAACAGCGCAACACGCTGAAGATCTGCGATCTGGGGTCCGCATCGCCGGCTTCGGAGAATGAGATTACGCCGTACCTGGTCAGCCGCTTCTACCGTGCTCCGGAGATCATTCTGGGTATTCCGTACGACTACGCGATTGACATGTGGTCGATCGGCTGCACGCTGTACGAGCTGTACACGGGGAAGATCCTGTTCACGGGGCGCAACAACAACCAGATGCTGCGATCGATAATGGAATGCCGGGGAAAATTCCCGCCCAAGCTTCTGCGGCGCGGGACACTGACGCACCTGCATTTCGACGAGATGCTCAACTTCCAGAGCACGGAGGAGGACAAGATCACGGGGCAGGTCGTGACGCGGGTGCTGGACTTTAAGAAGCCGACGCGGGATCTGAAGACGCGGCTGATGGGGAAAGGCACGAAGGGGATGAGCGACGCGGAGGCCAAGGACCTGGCGTTGTTTGTCGACCTGCTGGATCGGTGTCTGAACCTGAATCCGGAGAAGCGGTGCACGCCGATGGAGGCGTTGAAGCATCCGTTTATCGTGAGGCCGAGGGCATAATACACATACAGCTACAGCTTACATTCTGGTACGAATATTCAATAATTGACTTATTTTGACGCATATTCTTCAGAGCACTTAGTTGTTTGCTTTATGGGAAATAAATAAATACGTATGCGTAAATATATAAGGTGTTGGTGGTGTGCTGGTTTGCTGACTTGCTTGATTGATACTTGCTTGGTATTTTTTTTATCCTTTCATCATATCATATCGGTCATATCAGTTATATCGGTCATATCAGTTATATCAGTCATGTCATGAAATGAAATGGAGTGAAATGGAGTGAACGTGGAGTGAATGTGAGATGTGGGATATGGAATATCATAGACTGGGAGCGATACAATGCAATGAAATGCAATGCAAGTTTTCAAGCTTCAATCAAGTTTCTTCAAGTCTTGATTCTGAATTCTTCGATTCTGAACTCTGAATTTTGAATTCTCCTCTTCCTCCTCTATCATTGTGTGCATGTACACATAACATACGTAGATAGATAGATCGATAGGAAAGAAAGAATAGTCTTTTTTTTTCTTTCCAATTCATTAATTAGAGCAGTTAACATTTCATTTTTCATAATTATGTCATCCAATTCATTATTATTTAAGTAGGTACTAGGTAAGTATGATCGGATGGATTTAATCTCTCTCCTTTTGACTGAATTCAATCAGTGTCTTCTTGTCTGACAGATAGCTTTTGTAATTTTAATTTAAATTTAATTTAAACTCTCTCTTTCTGTTCTGTGCATTGTAGTGTATTGTTATTTTGCCTGTTGTGCATTGCATGCGAGTCATACTTATGTACAGAAAGAAACAAGGAAGAACCAGGCTGGATGGAATATCTAGATCGATAGATACCTAGCTAGCTAGATATGAGGTAGAGCTCCGTGGATAGACAGATAGATACATAGATACACAGAGCAGAAGGAAGGAATGGAGGGAGGAGGAATCGAAATGAGAAATCAATCAATCGTCATCCTGTACTCCGTACATGTACATACATACAGTATCTTTATCTTTTTTTCTTCGAGGTTATAAGTTTCCAGTATTTCCACTATTCCTTTCCACCGTAGGGTTCTCCTACTTCTGTAAATAAAGCCTTGTATGACTGAACAGTACCAGTGCATTATGGAGGCAGAGAGGGAAAATGAACCAAAAGAAAAGAATACGAACCATCAAAACAGACCCTGTCTAATCTAATATCGTATTCCAGAATTCAGTCCTTCATGCCAAACTGCCAATCCAGATACGAGTATATATTATAAAGTAAGTAGCATTGTTTGTCATTCATTGGTAGTGTTAACGAAGATTAGATTGTATATTAAAGTCATGTCGTCAGTCAGTGGAGTTCAGTTCACCATATGGAGTACAGAGTAATACTCCGTGGCAAATTCGATATATGCAAGATAACTCTAATTTAATTACTCCATACCCCAATATTGTGACCTGAACGAGTCCACAAGTTACCTACCTAACTTGCCAAAACTAAGCTTAGCTCACCTCCTGTCGTGACTAGATACCATCTGCGGAAATCCATCCATCCGTCAACAATGTCTAAATCCGGATGATGTCCCAAAAATGGTAGCGCCGCCAGAACTACGGTTCTAGATGGAGCAACTGTGGAGGTAACAGGTGGCTGTGAGGGGTCTAGAATCTTTCTCTCTGTCGCCTATTCTTTCTTTCTTTCTTGTGTCTTGATCTATGATTTTCGATCTAGACCCGAATACAATGTTCTCGATCTTCTTTCTTCCAGGACCCACCGAGCAGTCGGTCTGAGACAGCCTCAGCCTCCAGAATCGCCACGACACTGCTGCCATTTTCGAGAATGGTGGCGTCCGCCACTCCTCCCTCCTTCGGTGATGGACGACGACTCGTCGGCGAATTCCGATCGCAGGTCAAGTCAGGTCAGGTCAGGTCCTTGAGTGAAGACGACGAAGAATAAGGTTGTCGCCACCTAGGACGAATATCCCAGTAGGGAAGGATGTGGCTATCTGTAGACGACTGTTGAGTGTAGCCTTAACGAAGGCCTTTTCTGCGGGAAGTATATCCTGCTCGGTAGCGGTAAATTGAGCCTGTTCTTTAGTTTTGGTCGCAAGCAATTGTAGGCTCAAATCGCCCCCAGGTCGAATTCAGAGATAGTTCGAAGATACTACTAACTGGAGCTGCAAGCAAGAATCATATCCAAGAACCTTGAAGTCTTCAGGATAGAATACCTGGTTTCGAGGCCCTATCATCTAGACTGTGCTGACGAGATCAGATCACTAATAGCCACCTACTCGGTACTCTCACTTACCCGTATAGATATAGATCCCCACCAATCGTATGATCCAATACAAGAACAGTGATCCACTTAGCTCCTGCCAAGCTTTGTAGCGCGTGCAGAAATAAATGCCTAGGTAGCTTAGGTAGCTGGCGTGATACTGGCAGTCAGTCAGTGAACTCACAGAGAAAAATTACAACGGGGAATTAGAAAAAACCGGTGTATATGACATATATATATAGATGTTATTTTCTGTGGACTTGTTAAGCGGGTATAATTATGAAGCTCGTGCAGGGTACTGTACACGAGAGTGAAATGTGAGACTGGTCATTCCGAATGTTCATTAATTCCTAGGACATTTCGGTGAATTATTTAAAAAAAAATTATCGAAACAGAGTGTTTTCGGTTCTAGTTATAATTTTTATATTCTTCTTCTTCTTCTGATATATCATGCCAGGTATGTAGAAAGGAAAGCAAGTTCTCCATACTCCGTACAGTGATATTGGTATCTGCGCACTAAAATATAAAAGGGGACACATGATCGCTACCAGGTATATATTTTTGAACATGTTAGCACTTCGTATCACACCACCACTGTTAATCTCAAGTTACACCAAGTCGAATGGAAATAGATGGGCATTAAAATGGAAGGAAGGAAGGAGGAAAAGGTCGCTGGAAGTAAGTGAAAGTATACTATACGGAATACTATATCTACCACTCTCTTCTTCAGTTCTTCTCTACAGAAGAAAACTCCAGCCCAGCTTTGATAATGACAAATAGAGCTTGGAACACTCTTTTTCCTTCTTTCCCTTTGTAATACCCTACCTACCTTAATTTCTTTTTTCCCTCCTCTCGAGAGTCAGAGTTATCTGAAGTCCGAGTGCTCTATCTACAGTGATGTATGATCATCGACTCATTCTACGCAGAAGGAGTGGAAGAAGAAAGAAAGAAAGAAAGAAAAAAAGAAAGTGGTAACCTGCTTGCCTGCACTGTACTCTCTGTACAGTCCTTTCTCTGTACATGCAGTCAGTCAGCCAGCCAGCCCAGCCACATTGTCATCACTGTCATCAATATACATACAGGGTACTTGACTGCCATACGTCATTGTCACCTATCTACTGTATGTATATACAGCATGCAACAAAGGAAACAATGAATGTGACTTATCTATCGAACATTTGAACAACATCAAACAACACCAACCAATGTCAATATCAAGGTCGATGTCTGTCGACGTCAATGACAATGAAATTAATTAATCATTCCCTCGCCCGAGGGCACTCACCGTCCTCAGGAAATAAACCATATCCTTAATTAATTTCCTATTATATCGCCTATTGTCTATTGTCTTCGACCTGACAAAGCTAGTGATTGATTGTTCACTATTGATTGTTGATTAATTGATTAATTAATTAATGTTTCACTGGTATGCAGCATATATATACTCCATACGGCTGGCTCCACAAGAACAGTATGTATGTACTCCGTACTTTTATTACTCCAGAGTAATACTGTAAGTAAGGGCTCATGCGCATGTTCATGTCTATGTAGACATGTCCATGCTGTGCACAGACAAAATACTGGAACGGGCCTTGAGGGGTTAAATCAGGTATTATTATGTATCAAATAGATGGTTAACTACTTATTACAAGGGTCGAGACAAAAAAAAATTACGATTCGAGAATGCTTGACTTATCTTTCGTTTTACCTTCCAGCGCCCCCCAGTACTTTGTAGTAATACTACTGCGTACGGGGAGAAACATAGTCCAGGGATCTGATTCATCCAGCCCCGCCCAGCCGGCTGGTCAGCTAGCTTACTGCAGTACTCCGTACATACATAGCGGGACGGACATCCTATCCTATCAAGTTCATTTACTAAAGAGTAAAGACGCATGCATGTGTCTGATGTTCTGGAACCCGAACCAGCCCTGTCTGTTTAAAACAATACTCCGGAGTAGTCGAAGGATCTGGCCTTGTCTTGTCTTGTCTTGACCTGGGCATTGTATGCGATATTTTTTTTAAAAAAAAAACCCCTTGCAGGATAACTCCGTATTGGAGTTAGGTATTAATTAATTAATATTACTCCAGGAGAATAATAAGGGTTTCTCCGGAGTAAATAACTAAGTCAGTTCTGGAAAAGTGCCCGAACAGAACGCCAATCATGCACCTGCTACCGTCTGTACGGAATACGACCTGGCAAGACAGGGATTAATAATATTACGAGAGTATGGGGTGTGCAAGGGAAAAATGAATACCCACGGATGCTTATCTATCAGACTATCATGCTAGACGACAGAAATAGAAGATCAAGGCATAGCATGGCATTTGATAGTCTAGTCTACTCCGTATATCCTTCCCCTTGCAAGTTGCAACTGTTTCAGTCCGATCGATTGATCCATGCGACTGATCAGCGTTGTGATCAGCGCTCGAATATGTCTAACTTGATTGGACATGAACTAGATAGAGGCCGATGTCGGGATCACGGTTCAGGAGGTGGACGGAGCGTGGGTGATCTATGAACTTGATCTATTTTCGATGCTATTTTCGATCAGGATCAGGATCTGGTTCTGGTTCTGCATGGAGGATTCTATACCTCGTCCACAGTTCATACTGATCCTCCTGCTGTATATGTCGCATCCTGCAGTTCATCGGTTCATCGTCCATCGTTCATCTCATGCTCACCTCAGCAGGCCCCTCCTGACGCATCTGGCGATGTGCAGGTCGAGGCAGCGCTAAGCATGCATCCGCTCCGGTTCGTAGCGTGGGCCGTTTCAGCCTGCCAATCAGCAGGCCGACAGTCGAACCGCCCTGCCAGGTTCTCGAAGCCCGCCCGTCCAGGCTGCCACCGTTGACGCCTTCGCCTCACTTTGATCAGGGCGACGCGGCCGTACCAGATAGGAGAGCAGTTAATAAAAACTCTGTCTGTAAACTGGTGCTACTGCTGACGCTGACAGCATCGCGATTCTAGTCGCCACCCCACAGCTGTTCTCCGTAGTGTACTGCGTACTCCATACTCGTACTGCGTATTGGCAATCCTCAGCGTTCGCAGATGCAGCGTTGGCCCTTGCTCCTGACTCCCCCAGTCATCTCCTCGTAATGCGATCAGCGGTGGGCCACGTTTGGACCTCTTGGCGCTCAAGCCAATCAAGATGGCCTGATTGGAGGATTTCCGGCGCCAACCCACATGAATCATTATGAACCGCATCCTGGCACAACGTCGCATAATCTGTCGAGTCGTCGACCTGTCCGGAGTATGTCTGGTCTGGACATGCCATGGCATCCTCGACATATCATTATTGGTCTGACGGAAACAGTATACTCCGTATTTGTGTTCTCGCAAAGTCCGCCTTGCCATTAAACTTGCATCTTACGTGCTGATGACGGCAGAGACATCCTGTCCGGATCGGTCGCTGCCCTATCCGCCGCTTGGGCGAACGTGATTGGCCGCTGCTCTGGCGGCTGCAGAAGTGACAGGTCATGTGGAGGGCTGCCTCAGGCCGCAGCGTCGCTGCCCACCGCTTTTTGCCAGCAAGCCTGATGTCCGACGCTATCCTACACCGTTCGGGCTTAGCTGGGACCATCAGGGTCTGATCCTTCTGATCCTCCATCCTCCTGATCCCGAGCAGAGGCCATGCTGCAGAAGGCGCTAACATCGGGCTCATCCTGGCAGTCAACCTTGCTGACACCCTATACAACCAGTGATCCTGCAGGCGGTCCATCGTGGACAAGTGACGGGAGATGAGATGGACAGGGGGTACAAACGCTGGCCTGCCACGAGACAGTTAGTGGAGGGGCGGCGTGCTTGGGAAACCGAACTGCAGGAAATGCCGCGAATAGGAC